AATGAAAATCCTTTGAAAGTATGGATGGATTACAAGATACAATTTCCAAAATTGTTTAGTATCGCATATAAATATTTAACTATGGTGGCCAGCTCTGTTCCATCTGAAAGGCTTTTTTCAAAGGCCGCGCAGATCTTAACACAACAGAGAAATCGAGCAAGCTAAACGAGTTAATAAAATTTTATTTATGCAAGAGTTAAATAAGAAATATTGGAATTTTTAAATAATTATTTGAAATTAAAGTTGATTAAAATATTTACATGGTCGTAGTTTAATTCTCTACTCTTAATTAACCTTTGTCTTTCCTTTTTTTATTATTAATTGAATATTATATCCGATGTATATAAAACATCGAATATTGAAACGATATATAGTATAATATCGATACGAATATTATACGAAAATATTGATATATTTTTCAGGTGACTATCCCTAGTTTGACTGCGTTCGCTGGGATTGCCTGTAGACGGTACTACAGGAAATGGGAGTAGATTCTATCTGACAGTGATTGACTGTAGTTTTACATTTTACTTTCATCTCTTTCTTAATAAACTCAAAATCAAATTAAAAGTTTTTTATTCTGTAGGCTGCATAATAATATTGTCTGATAGTGGACGTCTTGCGGCTGAGATGACGATGATGAAGTACAAAATCATAAACACCCAAAAATTTGGGTGTTTATGGGGTTTAAACCCAATAAACCCAAAACACCCGGTTTTTACCCACCAGACTTTAAACCCACCCAGGTGGATTGCCCATCTCTACTCGGCTCTATCAAGACGGAGTTTCTATAGTGTGCGTGAAATGTAGAAGGGAGCATGGAACAGTGTTGCACCAAGGACATTCTATCTTTACACGTTATATAAATCATATCGATTCTATATACTGTAAACTCAAAACTTTCAATTTTATTTAACAATTAAATTAGTAATTTTATAATTTAATAATTATTTATTTATTTAACTTCAGTACACATATAATAAATTATATGTAGTATGTACATGCAAAATAATTACATTTTTAGAAACCAAATATCTTTGTGAACTTTATACTATACTATGATATTGTACATATAATAGGGTATTGTTAACCGACTTCAAGAATAGGAGAAGCTCTCAATTTTGTTGTATTTTTTTTATGTTTATTACCATAGAACTCCATTATTTATAAAACATTTTGCCAATATCTTTTTTTATCTGATATACTCGTCCCATAGAAATTTTATTATAATCGTTCCAGTAATTTGGTTTTTATATCAAAATAAATGGTTTTGCCAATCAATATCAAAATCAATATAGGAATACGTTGCTATTTCTAAAAACTAAGGGCGACATAGTATACTCTGTTACGTCCATGATATTGTTCATATCTACAGGTGGTGGATACCACTCTCCATTAAAAGGATCGTCAGCTTGTTTGAAAAAAATCTATGTAATTTCTCATCCCTAAAACCGAAACACAAATAATACAAAAGTATACCCTTTTTAATTAATAAAAAAACTTATCAAGATTGGCTCACAATTTGCATAAATATTGTATAATATACACAAAAAAAATAGTTGAAATATTGAAAAATATTCATGTCTACAAAAACAAAATTATCTTTGATTTATTCTTTCAAAATAAAAAAATTACGATAATATAATTTTATTTTTTTTGCGTCTATTGTCATACAAAAATTACTTTTAATTTTTATTTAATTTATATGATAAATTAATATATAATTATTATAGCTGCATTTGTAACGGCTTGTTGCCTTTATCAATTTATAAATAGATATAATCGATTCGACACTTATTGGCAATCTCTAAGGAATTGAAGTTAAAATTTGTACGTTCACCTTAGATATTCACGTATTTTTTATTATTTTAATTTGAATACTTAAGCCTTCAAAATATTAATTAGTTTGTAATATTTTTTTCTCTTAATTCATGTACAAAATATTTGTTATGGTTCTAAATATTGTATTTAAATAATGAATTTAAGTATTATATAATATTTAAATAAATAAAACATGAAATCGTAAATAGTTCCATAGCGAGCCACTATCGAGACCACTGACACCGCATTGCATCCAAAACTCGTGTAAATGACGTAAATGCCTAACTTTAATGTAGGTTATTGCTGATGCTAGATCACGAGGCTGGTCTATGTGACGACTTGAAAATGCCCTCCTGGTTCACATTTCAAATTGGGCAGTCATACTCATTATAATTAGATATAGGAGACTTATATTGTAACTTTAATTTATAGAATTAAATATTTTTTTAATAAAATTCGTTTTTTTTTTATTCTCCGGTTATCGTTCTTATAATTAACCCTTCTTTGCATGATTTTTTATTGGTAAAGTAAATCAAAGTAATATAATTCATGTTTAAAATTAAAGGAAAAATGGTTATAAAAATAAATTGGACAGCTATGTTTTTTTTTCTGCAATGGACATTAAAAAGGTATCCAGACACGATCAACTTAAAGTTAATTTGGTCTTTTATATAAGTTTTAGGTATTCAAAGTTATGATGGAAATTTTCACCATTATGCAAAGAAGGGTTAAGTGCTTTTTCTGTTATTTATATTACATTCAGGTAAAGCACACTTAATTTTAACTAATTACATTCACTTAAAACTAATTTCAATTCAATACATAATAATACTAGATAAAATAAATAGAAAAGAGGACATTAGAATAGAAACGGGTAAAAGGTTAATAGATAAATTGTAAGCAGGGTTTTCAAATAAAATTGAAATCAACTCAAACGGTAGACATTATTATTTTTATCTTGATAAATACAATATTTTCCGAAGAAACAAAAAAAAAATGTGTCTAATTAATTAGTTTGTCTGTCACTAGGTAAAATAAAAACTAATAAATCAGATAGTATTTCGTCGACTATTGTCATTTTGTTAAAAATGATACTGATTTTACCTATGTATGATCGATCATATTTAATCTTGATATGCCAGAAAATCAATCTATTATCGACTTTTGGATTAATTGAATAATATTAACAATATTACTTAAATAAGTAAAATTTATATAACCTTTTTTGGAGTTGATCAAAATAAAATTGACAACATTAAATATGTAAATATATACAATAAAATACAAGTATTTGCGATTTAGAATTTTAATTTTTTTTTTTACTGATTTATTCGTAATATATAATATTCGTAATAAATAATTATGTAAAAAAATTACAATATTTAATAAAATGAAAAAGTTTACCTACGTTACGAATTTACTCACTACTAAACCCAAAAGAGAAAAAAATTGTGTTAATTATTTCATGTAGTATTTTTATGTATATTAGATTAGACATAGAATTTGAATTTTTCACTCTTCAAAATAGAAAAAATGAAATTTAAAATAATGACAAAATCTACTACTGCTATTTGAATAGTGACAACCCTGGCCAGTTTCTTTATTTACCCCGTATGTCGTTTCTTTTATTCCCGTGTCCGGGGCGAATAGAAACAACTAACATTTCCATATTTTTCTTTCAAATAAATAAATAATATTTTAAACATGTTAAACTAATCTTGAACCGTATAATAAACACCTTTTATACCTTATGTTAATTCAGAAAAATAAGATAATTTATGTTAAAAATAGAAAAAGTATATTTTTCTCCCTGTTTTATGGTACATAAAGTCACAATGACAAATACTGACGTCGAGATCAAGCTGTCAGTCTGCCCGCAGGTACCTACCTTTCTAGTGATGAGACTTAAGTGATTTTTTTTTCACCCAGTCACTTGTTACTGGTAACTTTCTCACTCGAACGCCACTCGAGTGAAAATAAAACTCGAGTGATTTTTATTGACTTGAGTCACTCGGAATATAAAACTCGAGTGACCAAAACTTTAAAACGAATAAAACAATATTAATTTTACATAGAAAATGTGTATTCATATAAAAAAAAAAATAAATAAATAAAATGTAAAAAATAGAATTTCCTTCAAACTAAACCTGTCTTACATAATCAAGAAACCTCTTATATCAACTATCAGTCAAATTGGAATATTATAATCTACTACTAATAAGTTCTAATCCAATTTAAATTATTCTAACAAGGAACTTTCATGAGATCCAAATATGAACAGTTTTATTATGTTCTTACACAATTTATGTAATAACAAACATGCTTTAATATTAACTTAAATCTGCCCTATCAGCATTAGATTCTACTCTAAAACCAATTTTCTTAAATCTCTGATCCAAGTAGGTAGATTTAGCTGTAGTCTTATTTGATTCTTTTATAAGATTCTAATACCTAACCATTTATCAACAGCATCTAATAAAGATTTTTTTAGTTTTTGACCAATGCTTGTATTTACGATCTTTTTTATCAGTTTTGCTTTAATTTGATACATTCCATATCCATTGTACGTTGCATTTCCATAAATTTGTAAAACGCTTTGGTGCTTTGTTTGAAATATGTGACTATGGATTGGCATTTATTTATAATTTCCATAAATTAAGGGTTAGCTTTCTTACAGTCAATAATCCCTAAGTTCAAAGTGTGAGCTACACAGTAGCGGTTCCTTTTCCTAAAATATTTAGAAATAACTTTCTTTATATTCGGAGCATTATCGAATACTATTGTCACAATTTTTTCTGTAATTTGCCACTCATCAAATATCGACTTCAGCACACTTGCTAAAATAATAGAAGAATGTCCCTCCGTAACCTCTCTAGTAGTAATAGTTTGCGAAAAAAGTTTTAAATTATAAATGAAATGCTAAGTTAATGAAATGATAAGCATCAGGAAGAATTTTCTCTTTTAAATGTTTCCTGCTACAGCGGGTAAACTTGTCACAACTTGAATTTCTCACTCGGTTCGGTATAAACCACTCGAGTGGTTCGAGTCAACTCGAGTCGACTCGTGTCAATCAAAACTCAAGGTTTCAAAAATTTAATTTGAGTGCAAGTAATATAAAAACTACTCGAGTCACTCGAGTGTAAAGCAACTCGAATCCTATCACTACAACTTTCGTAGGAGACAGCTCTTTCATTCATCGTATGTTTGTGTGCGTATTTTATCGTAGTTACCTATTTATTTTACAAATTATGAATTGTTTAAACTCTGTTTTATTAGTTTTTATTTAATTTAAATTTATATCAATGATATCCCAATACGAGATTTGTAAGTATCTATCCCAGTGCAGTACTTAAAATTAAGAGTTATCTATTAATTTTGGTGGGTAAGTGAAATGTAGTGTCAATTATATAAACGGCAATTAGATGCATTCCCCACATGCCTTAAATAATATACTTCCAGTATTATTTTCTCAATTTATTTCAATATCTCAATTACCTAAAATTTTTTTTCCTTCGTACATAGATCTAACATATTCTAAGTCAACACAGGAATACTTTTTCTCCTAATCCACGTAGGCTAAGTAAGCAAAGATTTATCAATACTTCCTTACTAATATTACATATAATTGTGAAAGTGTTTGTTTTTGTTACCCCTTAGCACTTTAACAGCTACACAAATCATTATGAAATTTGGTATATTCTTACCTATTATTTAGTATGGAGAAGACATAGGTTACTTTTTATCCTGGTCATTAAACATATTCTGATCACACAAAGTCGCAGGGAAAAAACATTAATATAATAAAAACAATTTTGGGGGCAGTATATTTTTAAATGACTAAAATAAAAGAATTTCTCATTACATCTGAATATTTTTTTATGGCTATGGTATGCTATTTGGTTGCAAATTATAAACTGATATTGATAAAATTATTACAATTCTTAGTGTTTATTCCATTTTTAATTTCGTATTAATTTTATGACTATTGAGACTGCCTTTTGCAGACTGAAAAATGTTTGTTATGAAACAAAATTTACTTGTAGATATGTAATTCCAAAAATTTCAATCAATTTCCAAATTTTAACCTGGCCATTCAATTTTAATGTTTTTGAGTTAAAAATAGCAAGCTGGTATTATTAATTTTTTGTGACAATGTTATGTCATTAAAGAAGTAGAGCTTGCCTCGCTATAGCCCTAATAATTTGATAATATTGACATATGGCTGTAAATTTTTTTTTGGAATGATAAATGCACTAAAAATTAACTGTGATTGTTGGGAGGACTGGGATTGTTAGTAATGGAGTCTAAAAGCTCCATTGCAAGCAAGGTGCCCAATTGGGCCGACTTCCACATGGTTCCCCCTGAAAGCTATAGTTGTTTATTAATATTGAATTTGCCACAATGGTGAGGATGAATCCTCATCTATTATCTCTCACTAGTACATGTGTTACTATTTGATGTACTGTCTTAGACACCATGCTAGGTTATTTAATTTATTCTTTCAAAAGTGTTCTGAAATTAAAAGCTTAGATCAACTGGCCGGCTGGCTGCCTTAGAATTAATCCCTAGCTGTGCCAATCAGAATTATAGTCTATGAACACAGTTTAACATTTGGCAGATACTGTCTTTTTGTAAATAATTAAATATTAACTAGCAGTTAACATAATTTTTCAAAAATTTTGCTATGTGAGAAAGATTAGAAATGAACCTGTAATTTATTGATTCTCTTTTAGATCTAGATTATAAGAAGTAGTATAATTTTACTAAAGGGGTTTGAATACTTTTTTGTAAAAACAAGTGTAACACCACCATTCCAGTAAAATCAATGGTACCCTGCCAATTTCACTGTAAATGAAATGTTTCGAAAATTACAAAACCAAAAAATATATGTAAGAACTGTTGGATGATAGAACCTTCTGTCTGTTTGCGTTTGTAATAAACACCAAGTTGAAGAGTGGTTAGTGAACGCGCATTCACACTTGGCTTGAGATTGCATACTGTCTTTGCGAATTAAGAACAAATAGACTACAGATGACAGACAGTTAGCTGTAACTAGAAGTTAGATCACTATAAATTCTCTTTATATCGCTATAAAATATTAAGATATTGTTGAGTCTGTGTGTGCTGATTTAAACAAGGATCTAACAGCATCCAGTCAAGATAAGGTGGAAAGTGGTACGGCGCGTGAGACTCCTTCATGTGCACATACATTTTGAAATGTTGTAATCGCTTCATCATCGAAGTCGGGCAGCTCAAATTGTTGACGATTGGCGCCTTACTCTCCAACTCGACGCACTGAAACTGCATAGAAATGTTGCATCTCTGTGCATCTTCTACTGAATTTATCATGGGGAGTGCTCTGAGGAATTGTTCCGATTGATACCTGTTGCTGATTTTCACCATTGTACAATTTGCCATAAACTAATATTTCATCTTAACCATCTGGACGAGTGGCGGTCCTCCACCGTGCGTTTTTCAAAGCACTTTCTTCCACGCACAACCACTCTTTGAAATCAACTTCCAGCAGCAGTATTTCCGAACCGATACGACAACATAACCTTTAAGAAAAGAGCATATTCCTTTTTAAAAGGCCGGCAGCACACCTGCAATGCCGTTGGTGTTGTGGATGATCATGGGCGGTGGTAATCACTTATCATCAGGTGAGCCGCTTGCTCGTTTGTTCCTCTTTTAAAAAAAAAATCGTTATCAGAAGTATGGACACACGGAATTTCCACCGTTTAACAATGTCCGTACATCTTTTTTTTTTGGTGGGGTACCAGTGAAGGATGATAGATGAGAATGAAATTAGATTAAATTAACCTAACATTGTGAAAAATACACTGGGAATTATTACTATAGTATGCTTATAGTAATTATTTCCCCGTGTATTTTTCGGGAGAAGATTCAAACTGTTTACTAATAATCCCCTTCTTCATCTCGAAGGTTTTCGAAACGACTTCCAAAGAATAGGTATGGTGAAGTAATGTAGAGTGCAAATATTAATCTATTCTCGATTACAATGGGCCTGCCGCCCTTACAGCGCCCTTGGTCGAGGTTTGAGACGCTCAGGTGCCCTTGGGCGTACGTCATAATCTTTCGATACACGTCAACCTTCTGTCGATCCCCTCTTGCGAGCTTTGAGTGTCCTCTGCACTTTCTTATGCACGCATTTAGTGAAACGCCATCTTCGATCAACAGCAGTGGAGTAGTCCGAAGAAAAAATTGTACCTACAAGTTTATTCATGGCCTCAAATTACCTTGGAAAACCTATTTTGTAATGTTATAATAAAACCTTACAAAGCTAAAAATATGCATAACCACCTATTCTCCCTTATCTCATCTCCCTTTTCCTTAACTTCACGACTATCTCCTATGGTGCAGTTATTTACCATTATTTTCGTATAGAATTGATCCTTTCTAGGTGTAACTTGGGTTTAGAACATTACAATTTCGCAGTGGTCATTCTTGCGTTTTATACATTGCGGTAATGATAGTAATAGCCTGGACAAATTAAGTTTCCATTGCTAACTTTGACGTCTAACGTTTTTAGTCTAGTCCAAAAATTTATTAAAAAAAAAAAAAAACAATATTGCGTAAATCGAAAAATACAGTCACTTGAAAATCTCCTCTATTTTTTTTATAAAAAAAGTAGAATTAATACGCGAATTATTTATTACTTGCCCACGGCTTCGCTCGCGCCGTTTATTTATTTTAAAGTATATGTAAAGGACAAATGTTTGTATGGACGTCTGTAACTTTCAAAGCAAGAAGCATGAAGTTTCATCCTGGTCACAAAAAAGTATATTACGGCGTTTTTATTTTTTTATATCACACTTTATATACCTAGGTGTTTATACAGATTTTTATCTTCGATGATCCGCCAAAGAATCGCACTTCATAATAGTAGCGAAGTTTGTATAAAGAAAACGTACCTACTTCTTGCACTTCCCTAAGGGAATAATATAATATTGAGATATTTTGTAATTTGAATTTCATTATTTGCACCTAAAAGACGTGATACTCCTTTAAAATGCAAATAAAAAATTCTCACACCTTTTCTCGTCTAAAGAGTGAAATTTCCAATAATTTTGATATAGGTATATGTTTATCAGTTCAATCGAGAAACACAAATAATAAACTTTAAGCAAATCAGACTTTTTTTCAGTTTATACTTATTTTTTTACCCTATATTTCTCATACGAGATTGAATTTCCAATAACGACGGAATTCCTATATATTTTTGCTAAGATTTAATATTAAATTTGATTCTTCTTACTTAAAAAATGACGGATTCTCCATATAAACTTTCAACTCCTATTTCACTCTCTTAGGAGACAGACTTTAAAAAACGCTGAAATTATATCTATATGGCGTTTTTGAAATATAATTTAAGTAATATATAATTCGAAATATTTCTAACCAGAAACTTGTGTATGAAGTTTCATGCTTCTAACTTTGAAAATTACAAGTTTCCAAACAACCATTCATGCTTTATTTTACCCTTGTAGGATGAAATTTACAAAAAATATTTTTATTTATTTATTGTACACATCAATTATTTATAAAAATATGTCAGATGTAATCAAATATACAAAGGCGAGCTTAACTCTAAAAGAATTCCCTTCCAGCAAACCCAAAGTGGAAAGGAGCATCAATGTCAGCGGGTAGAGCAGTGTATTAATGTGCATTTGTATAATAAAATTCATCAATTGTCAAAATTTCAAGTTTTTAACCTCCTATGATATAGACTGCGTTGATGAATGAACAGTCAGGATAAATACATATATTTTTTATATTTATATATACGTATATTTTTTCAGAACAATTTATAGTAATGAATGGTTTTAATTATCAATATTGAAAAGCAAAATTGAGTAGCAAAATTCTTAAATTTACGATTCTTTTTGTTTCTTCGGCACGGGCGGAACCAAAAAGTGTAACTTTCGAAAGTTACATTTGAACTTTTGCAGTTACACTTTTGCCACAAAAGAGTGATAGTGGTTGTAAAATAAGTTGGTTATAATCGAGGGCATTCAGTTCACTTTGTAAGTGTGTATGGCGCGGTTGTACGTACTGCAGCCACTTGCCTATTGGTTGGTTATTAGCAGTAATTGTTATTAAAGTTATTATAGTTCGAAGCATATTAATTAATTTCTACATACATGTTACGTAACAATTATATTAATAGATAGTATGCACTAAAACAATAAGGTTTGCCTTTCTATTTAAAGTACGAAATTTATTATTGAAGTAGCATTTCTACAGCAAGTTTGTGTGTATGTATATGTGGCATTTAGTTCGTTTGAACTGTGGGTCTCTATAACTCTGAAAAGTACTTGTTTAATTGTTGTAAGTATTATAATTTTTATGTGCTTACACTAAAACAATTTTAATTAAGAACATAAGTAGAACATTTTTTAATTATGTCAATTTGTATTACGTCAATGGCCAATTTAAATTTTATTTAAATAAGAAATATATAAAGAACAAGAGACAGAGTGAGCTCTAATACTTACATACAAATAATGGTTTATTTTTGGGAGATATTTTTACACTAGTGTATATTAAATTTTTTGAATGAAATATTTTAATTGTAGCTAACTACTAATATATTGTGTTCGATCGAAGTATAAGTGTTACGTCGAAACTAGAATACCGAATTTCAGTTTCTATTCCAATTTCGCCGTCATAAAAATTTTCTTTGGACTGCCTCGAAAATAAATTGCGAACTTGATCCATTCTTTTGTACAATTTTAAAATTTCTGTTACTTTTAATTTGTAAACATATACTACTAATGGATGTTATTTTATAAAGAGTCATTATAAGCTTTGTTGCTCGAAAAAATGTTTTCTTCTCCAATTGAAAGGGAAGCCGTTTTTTTTAAATGTAAAAAAATGTACAGTGGACCATAGAACCTCTTCCTTTTTTGAAATCGGTTAGGAACGGAAAAGACCAATTTAGCAATATTTCATTATCATTAAGGATGTTTCTAATAACAATAAATTTATTATATTATATAACGCGGCTTTAAAGTTTTGCGTAAAATGGTATTTGATTTAGCACTATCATTTCAAATATACAATATTTGAGCAAAATTTACTACAAATAACTTATAAGCAAATGAAGCTTCAGAATCAAATAACAATTTACAGAAAAAAAACAATCTAAATCGATTAGTTTCATCCCTTCTACTAATTTTCAACCAACTTCAAAAAGGATCTCAATTCGTTTTGTTTGTACGTTTGTTGTTGTTGTGTTGATTTGATTTTTGTTTATATAGAAGGATATACTTACAGATTGGTTCCATAGACATTTTATCAAAATCAATTTAGGAGTTTAGTTTTTAGATCAAAATGACTGGTTTCGTCACAATGGAAGCCGGTTTTTTTGTGGGGCACAATCTTTAGTTATTATTACATCATCATCATATCAGCCGTCTACTGTTACCTGCTGTACATAGGCCTTCCCTCATAAGCGACTTATTATTACATTTATTACAAATTATTAGATTAAAATATCGAATTTAAATGCAGACGAAGATTTTTAGCAATTTAGAATACTGATTAAATAAAGTCATTGTTGTTACTCTGTAAAGTTTGACAAAACGAATTAAATACGGTAGCAACGGCTGACGATAATTTTGATAATTGTTACAAAGTGGTGTACAACCTGCATCTGTTTCTTTGTAAATGGTGAATCTGAAGCCACAAGAATAAGATTTTCATGTCATGACAGAGAAAGTTATTAAAAATCTAGTTGAGACGAAGTAGCATAAACAGAAGTTTACGAACGTAATTTCTATTTCGGTCGTATTTTCGGCCAATTTCCTGCTGAAACAGAAATCCCAAATTTCCAACCAAACCTAAAGTACTGTCAGACTGTAAGTACATAAAATTGATAAGAAAATTTAAACAAACAAGACTAATTATTAACTTTCAAAAAACTTCGCAATGAAACTTTGGACCCTAGTTACAATTTATGTTTTGGGAACGTGGTTTAGCTCGGCATGCTTGTTTTTGGTTGTGCACGATAATGTTATTAAACAATTTTTTTGCTTTAGTAAACAGAGTAGTAAATTCAATTTGGTTTTTTTTTAATCTGATACTGGCATTAATAAATTATATGTCTAAGAATATTGTATTTATCCGTACCATAAAAAAAGTATCCTTAGTCTGTGATTATATTCTATTATCTATTTCGTAGATATTAAAACAGACATAATCAGATAGTATCTTGTGTAAAAATTAGCATTTTGAGGAGCAGGTCACTCTAGTGTCAAGGTTGAATACAAGCCATCGTACATCCATGTAGATTGTTGTGCTGTTAGTAGTTCTCCAGTCGGGTCATTTGTATAATTTTTAAGGCGCTGTTTATATTTTTTGCTATTCATCCATATCTTATTTATATCCATATCATATTTTTTAACGTTATGGATTTGTAGATAATTATGTATCTCCTTTTTTCTAATAAAATGATTTGGTAATGTCTAGATGATTAATAAAGTATAAATATAATACGAAGAAAAATAAAAATAATATAAAGAAAAAAGTTTCAGTTATAGGCTTATAGGTACATAAAACACCTTAGATTATAGGAAATACTTAGGAATATATATACTTACCGTTTGTTGATTGAAATCCGGTCTCATTTTACTTTGTAAAAAAATTTTACTCTGCAAAAAAACATAATTCAATCGTGGCAAACCACACCGATTGGTACACTCGCAGTATACACTCTTTTGTACTTATTATTCACTTTTCGTAACGAACAATTTTCTTTTTTTAATAAAACTGGCAGCTTCAATCTTTATAATATTTATATGGGATCAACACGAATTTGAACTTTTGTAAGCTTTTTGGTGTTCCGGATCACGAAAAGTAAACGGAACGTATAGGTTTTCATATATGTATAATCACAATTCAATAAATAATTTTATAGTGATTATAAAACATTCTACACTTAATTAAAATGTTTGAACATATATGCATGTAGTTATTTCACTGACATAAGCAGTAAGATTTCGTGCTAACATTAATAAGACAGATAAATAGAAATAGAGAAAATAGGTACCTAGATATTATACGTATATAATAACTTTGTATTTATATGCACTTGTCACAAATCCATAGATACATTCCGTAAGTACTTACGTATTTGATTCTGCGTACTGATTAAAAAAAAACTACTACAACTCAATCATGATTGAAAATAGTTAAATAGATAAATGTTTGTTACAGAAAAGAATATTTGCAACATGGATCACATGCACATGGACCACGCAAATCACATGAATCACCATATGGACCACAAGATGAACCACAATGGCGACCACATGGGACATCAACCTATGAACCTTAGTGTAAGTTAACGTTTTGTACTTTTTTTATGCAACCTGGAATGGCAAACAAGCTGGCAGCCCATCTGCGGACAAGTGGTAACCGTCACCTATAGACATGAACAGTACCATGGACATAACAGAGTGCACTATGTTGCCCATAATGCGTTGTCATTCCTGAGGGCCAAGGGGCCTCTATACTGTCCTATAATTTCATTACCATATCCCACCCTTCAAACCGAAAGTAATGTACCCTATATATAGAGGAATAACACCTGAATCCTTTTTCTTCTTTTGCAGATTTCATATAATAACAGTGCAGATATGGGTGGCATGAACGACGAACCTGTTATGATTAGTGGCCACGGAGGCCATGGTAGTAGTATGTCACACTCTATGATGTCCATGACAGTAAGTATATATATAGACAGATACTCTCTATTGTTTCCTCCATAAGATTACAATAGTAAACTTATTATATAAATACATATAATTACAAGAAAATATTATACTAAGAAAACAATGGATGTTCTTATCGCAAAGAGCGATCTTTTCCAGATATATATATATATATATATATATATATATATATATATATATATATATATATATATATATATATATATATATATATATATATATACATGTAGGTGGACATTAAATTTGTGGTAATTGTTTTTATTTTTCACCAACTGCGATGGCTAAAACTAAATTTAAAAAAGACCCAGACAGATAAACAAAATAACGCTGTCTATTTATAATTTATAGTTGGTTACTAAAATTAATTAGTAGTTTAAATAGTTTCTTACTCCAAGATCTGTACTCATGTAGGTGGACATTAAATTTGTGGTATTTTTTTTTTATTTTTTACCAACTAAAATTTATTGACATCCTGTAACACTATCAAATATATAGGCACATACAATCAAAGCTAGATCAAGTTGGATATGAAACATAAACTTTTAATTTTGTAGCTTTATAACTGAATATCATAGAAATAATGTAGTGAGATAACTTTCTGCATGTACCTTGCTATATGTTACTGGTCTACAGAACGAGTGGTAAATGGAATTTCTCAGTAGATACGTTATCGCATATCGCATACGAAAGTGATCCCGTCGAATGAGAAAACAGACCCGTGGTCTGTTATTATAGTGAGGAGACGAAAGTGCAGTGAAACCTCACTGCACTTTCGTCTCTGTTGTAATAACAATATAATATTAAAACATAGAATAGTATATATATATGTAAATCGTATATAATGTTAATGTAATATATGACATAAATTATTAATGACAGATCGCTTAGATGATAAAAAGACTACATGTTATGTTGGTGCAATAAAGTGTTAAATAAATAAAATAAATAAATAAAATAAATAAAAAAAATAAACTTTTAATTTTGTATGATAGTAGGAGGTGTTATACCACAGTCTCCTTTTATATAAAATAAATATAAAACATACTATAGGAGTCCAATATAACCATGAAATGAATGGAGACATAGATTTTCTCAACTAAAAGGAGCATGAGGGGAGTTATAATTACGACTAAAAGATACTTATCATACTTTAGTTGTTTTTTTTTTACAAATCATATTAATTGTCCATTTTTATTCAGACTACTTTTTTAATTTTACAATTCACAATCGATTAAAAAAGATCATATCACAGTATTGTTGTATTGGATTATTATGCAAAGTGTTAGAAAGCATAATAATATTATACTGTCACTTATTATTATATTTAAATATTTTAGTTCCATGGTGGCTACGTCGAAACAATTCTCTTCTCATGGTGGAATGTGCAAGATGTAGGAGAGTTCGTTGGATCATTTTTTGCGATATTTATCATGGCGTTGCTTTATGAAGGGTAAGTGAAATTTGTAATGTTGTCACCTTTAATTTAATGTAATAATAATTTTTACTAAAAGAAAGTTTAAATGGTCAAAAAGTGTGCAACTAGAAACTAGCAATAGAAACCAAATAAACCACTTTGTAATCGATATTTGTCAGTCTGAAAAAAATACTGAACGGATTTTATTTATCGAAATTTTATACTTCATCTAGTAAGCAATATGTACTAGCCCAAAATAAAATTAGTTTGTCTATGATTTATCTGTCGGTCGAGCGAATCAAGAACTATAAATAAACTTATTTATTGTATGAAATTCCAAGGAACGTAGAGGTCTTAGATAATTGTTTAAAGACCGTATAAAATAAATATATAAATATTAATAAAATAAATATAATATAATAAAATAAACAATACAGGCATAAAAATCGCTTGTAACATAATGTAGTAATTATAAAGTATGTATCTAATCTATTTAATTTCCTTACAAGTATATAAACTAAAATTCTCAAAATCATGTCCCCCATTGTGTTTTTTTTTTAATATTTTGCATTTGGACACCGGTCAATATATACATTAGCAGCTTTAAGGGAGGTGCGTGACAGGGGACATTGAGATCCAAGGGGCACGGATATGGAGGCGCCATAGAATCAATAAAAGATAGCATCAAATTCGACTTTGAAGTAAATAGCGCGGATCCTCGATGATTTTTTTTGTCGTCGTCGCCAGAGGATATTTCTACGTAGTCGGGGGGAGCGCCATTAAAAACTTTTCCAAGAGTATCAGGTAGGCTAATGCCGGTCCTGTTTTTATATACACATACAAGCCGTATGGAATCTAACTTAATTTATTTTCTGTTTTATACAGTTAGTTATATGTAATATATTTTTTTCAGACTCAAGTATTATAGAAAACATCTTCTATGGAAAACTTATACAGGATTACAGTATTGTGCAGTATCACCCCCTGATAAGGGAGTAGCAAATATATGCGCTGCAGATGAACCTCAAGTAATACAGTTGAGTAAACATTAACATTTATCTTTTTGTGTACTTTCCTATCTACTATCACCACGGTTCCTTAAGCGTGAATAAATAAGTGCAATTTAACATTAATAAACAATAATATTGTTACATCTGTATCTATGACGTCCTTTACATAATTTTATATACAACGTAACACTGTTATATACTTACCACTTTCAAGTCACTGCGAAGGATTTGAATATAAATATTATGTAGGGGCATGTGTGTATTACTGTTTATTATTATACCATTGATAAGCGAATATTACACTTATTGTTACACTACATACAGTCAATAAATTATATCTACATATGGAAATTGCATAATGCCTAATCATATTTATTTTAACCACAAAGAGTATTTCCAAGTCACACTCAATCAACATATAATATTTACAACTTAGATTATATCCTGTTTATTTTTTTTTTATCTAGTAAGGAATTGCACTATAGTCAGGGATACCATAAAGGTACCAAACACGTCACAGTGGGCTTATTCTGTAATATCAATTCTGTTCATGTCTATAGTCATTGTACACAGTTACATAATTTGTTTTCCATTTTAAATAAATGGGAAGATACTGCAAAAACTTATTACTCAGTGCTTATTAGTTTCATGTGATTGGCTAGATTACGTTACTTCGTTTAGATTATTTTTAGGCCATATCTGTTACCTACCATTATATTACTTCTGCAGTAGGTCTTTAAATTATAACTACGTTTGTGGTATATTATTTCGTAAGACCCATTGAGAGTCAAGGTCTGTGGGTGTTATCGCCCCATAGGAAATGCAAAAGTTAGACCTACATAGTCCCCTTCCTTTAAATGTTTTAATTAATTTATACTACACCTACTATTGCCTTCTATAGGGAAGAAAAGTATTGTTAGTAATGGGGATGTTAATCTTCTTTCCTAGCAATATACCCTGTTAGGTCGACCTCTACGCGGTTACCCCTGGTAACCATCATGATTAATTCTTGTTGAACCCGTCGCAATAGGATGACCTAGTTTCATCTTCATCTATCACCACTCACTGGTGACCCTCTAGTGTATACAGGTAGCGCAGGCGGGATTACCATTCCATTATCATTTGCGAAGAACTACCTATTCTACTCTCCAAACAACTATTTCTTAATGAACATTTGGTGCCAAAATCCAGAACCCTGGAGATCTAACGTCACATGTCATCCAAATTAGAAAACGAATCTAGCAAAATTGACCCCGGTGTCCTTTTATCATTGTGATATGTTTCAAATATGTATTAAATAGATATATAATATAATTTACTATTTTAAATAATATATTCTTTTATTTCAAGGCCTGTGCCTCATCTACTAGAGAGAAATGTGTAAGTATCTCTTAATATTTTTTATATTAAATTACTAATTGTATTGCCGCGCCATTACCCACATGAAGTTGTATAAAAAGTACCATGTAATGTACTTACTGAATTTCATTCAGTCATTGTGTAAAGTGTGATTGAGTAACAAATATTCAAGCATACATTATTGATATTTAGTAATCACAACTAATTGTTCATTTACAATGCCCAGTAATATTTAGAAATACTTTTTATTATAGGTCCTTGATCTTATTATTGACCTCGCACGTCACGTCTTTCTACTGAAAAGTTTTTTTATTCTTTTATACCTATTTATTTACTTAATGTTTAAAATTGCAGACCCACCATGCTGAGTTCCACACACGCGTGGCAAACTGTACTTCACGGTGTACAAGTTTTAGTTAGCTATATGTTGATGTTAGTGTTTATGACATACAACACATGGCTGTGTGCAGCTGTCGTACTTGGATCGGCGACTGGATATTTCCTATTCGGTTGGCGGGAATCCGTTGTGGTAGACTTTACAGAACACTGTCACTGATATATACTTATGACCGTATGTTAGCAAACTAGCTAAAAATCTTATAACCTCGCTCAAAATGGTTGCAAATATTACGGTGTAATATCATAAGTGAACATCATTTGTATTAAGTACTTTTGGGCAAAATGTTTATACCAGTTATATACTTTTTAGGATAATATACATGTGTATTTAGGTTAATAATAAAGCATTGAAAGATAAACATGCCTTTATTTCACATTCAACAGATTGATAATTAGATGCCTTCCAGTTGTATAAATAATTTTATTTTGAATCCTTTATAAGGTAAATATATTGTCTGATGTTTACATCTTGAAAGGCCTACTAAATTTGCAATCCGTGTCCCGATCCAGATTAAAAAAAAAAAAAAATTGTTCTACATAAAGACATTACTTTCTTATAGTGTAATTTTTTTTAAAGTACCACATAGCTGCAATGTTGATGTTTATACCATTATACTGTATTATAAAAAATGGTTTCTTTTAATTTCATAGTTCCATATATTAGAAACTATTAAAAAGGAGTAAAATAGTACACAGGTACAATTAATCTGGTAGTATAGACCAATGTTTATGCCTATAATGTTTTTTTAAATTGGAACTACTATTACATCTATAATCACAGTAGTTGCAGGCATATGGTCTCTCTGATGTGTGTATTCTTTTATGAACTTTTAATGAATTGACAAAGTTTGACCTAAATGAACACTGATCACATAAATAAGGTTTTTCTGATGTATGTATCCGTTTATGTTTTATAAGATTTGATGACAATTTGCATATATATGAACAACCGGGATAATCACAGGAAAACTCTTTGTCATGTTTTATTACGTGTTTCATAAGTTCCTTTTTATTACTGCTGAAAATAGAAAACATAGTTATGTGTATTAATATAGTAAAAACAAAAATTTATACAGTAGCTAGATATCATATCTCCTTCATATTTTAACCAAGCATTTGTGTTCACACAGGTGTATTTTGTTTGACAGGTAATAAAGACAGTGAGATTATAGGGTTTTTTTTTTGATGAGTGAAAATGGTATGGCCTGCGCTAATGGGATACGTATATTGGCGGAGCACCAGTGAAGGGTGATCGATGAGAATGAAAACAGGTCCAGTTGGCCCATCATGATGAATTCATCAGGAATTAACCATGATAGTTTCCAGGGAATTTGGCACGTTTTAAAAATAAAATTGAACATAAAATATCTAGTGTCATAGTATCAATATGACCCGGACATTGTATGTGAACATTTAATTTAACCATGAAGCTAGCAGTGAATTTAAAACAAAAACATTTTCAACTAGTGTAAAATCAAATGTATTTATAAGTCTAACCGCGAGGAGGTAGACCTGGTTGGGTATATTACTAGCAATGGGAGTCTCAGTCTCCATCACTAACAATCCCTTTCCCCCCGAGATTATAGGGTATGGATAGTTTATTCTCAGTATTTATACCATTAACTATAGAACACATAAGGTGCTGACCCACGCTGACATTTAACTCGCAGATTTGAGTTTCTATGTATTTTAGTTTAATGATGTTTGAAACTGATTAATAAAGCTAAAGTCAAAATTGGAATTTTATGAAAATGCCTACATGTGAGGTGGTACGCTTCAGTACTCTAGTGTAGGAATATAATATTTTTATGCTTTATATATCACAGTTTTTCAAGTTTAAGTGAGTTTTTGACAAAATAAACAATATTGTTTTGTATTAACTTTTGCTTATAGCTTCATTATCCATATGATCTGGAATATGTTTAATGACTGGGATAAAAAGCATCCTATGTACTTCTCTATTCCATGTAATATGAATATAAAATCGTAAATATTCCTAACATATAATGACTAAAGATCACTTTCATAGTCGAGCATCTAAGAGAGATTGGCTTCTCAATTTATATATCAAAAACATGAATAGAGATTAGAAAAAGTTAATAGGTCTTTTATGGGAATAGGTATAAAAATTTACAATAAGATTGAATTACCCTTAAATAAATTCAATAGTTGTTCATGCACTGAATTTTCATTTAATGTTAGACATATACATTGTAAATAAACTGGCTTTGTATGTTTGTATTTTTTTAATGGATGATAATGGAATGGTAGCCCTACATGAATAAATGATTTTTGAATTTGAATTTGAATTTGAATTTGAACTATAGAACACATAAGGTGCTGACCCATGCTGCCATTTAACTCGCAGATTTGAGTTTCTATGTATTTTAGTTTAATGATGTTTGAAACTGATTAATAAAGCTAAAGTCAAAATTGGAATTTTATGAAAATGCCTACATGTGGGGCACCAGTGAAGAATGATAGGTGAGGATAAAGTAGGTTAATTAGTCCATTGTAACACATTCAACAAGAATTGTTCATGATGGTTTCCAGGGGGAACCACATGGAGATCAACCTAATAAGGCATATTGCTAGCAATGGGGCTGTCAAACTCCATTGTTAACAATCCCTTTCCCCCCATATGTTTGCATTAGCATCATCTAAAAACTACAGCACCAAGTTGAATATGGTTTTCACTGTTGTATTTCTGAAGATCTAAAAACTGGTGTGTGTTTTATTATGTTTTTTTTTTTTCAGGATTCAAGATTACTTATTTGTAAAATGCTTATAAATACATGCAGATGTTAACAATACAATCTCGTTCGACATGTTTAGCCTGTATGGCTTACAAACATATGTAGTTACACAGACAGTTCAAAATTATACATCAAGTCAATTTCATACAATTAATCATCATCACACTCTAATTTTGTTGTCTAGAAGTGGTATGTTACATCTATTTTCTTATTTCTGAAATCTGCACATATAAAGCTGCAGGCAAAAAAGTGGCTATAAATATTATATTAAATAATTATTAAACTTTTTTTGTATAGTTACACAGATAAATGTTGTCATTTTATTATTTTTTTTTATATGTGTCAGTTATTAATTTTATATTATAAACCTGGCACATAAAGACAGTAAGTAATCAAATTAATGTAACAAATAATTGAGCCTAACAGTCTCTAAAAAAAATTTTAAATACCTAATGATTATTTCTTAGATAAATGCCGATATTCTGATAAGGGATATAAAAGTCTGTTATAGGATTTATCATAAAATCTATATTTAGTCAAAGTTTGCATAGAGGAAATACATACAAGTACTTTGTAGCATATGCCTAATATATAGATATAAAAAAGTAAAATAATATCCTCTGAGTGTAAAATATTTATTTGGAGTATCAGATGAAAGCCTCTGAAAATGCTGAACATAATATTAAAATTTTGATTTTACAACTGATTTGTAGTCCCTATAATATTTGTAGGTTCATAGAAAATAAAGTTGTTTTAGTAATTGATTTTTATATAACATATTACAATTATATAGTTTACCCTCGCTACCCTGTACATGAATAATTAGTATAATAGTCGGCAGAGTATAAGGTTCCAGTTTTAATAATATTGATACATATTTTGTAGATTTCAGTGACATACCTGTGTGTGTGAGTAATTTTTTCAGTAACATTTTTTGTGTAATTAATAAAAGTCGCACTATCTTTTTTCGGTGTTATTTCTATAAAACAGTTACTTAATCTTCTTTTTTTAATTTTTGTACACTTCATCTCTTCACAGTCATAAGCCTCTGAGAATTCAAGTAATTCGTTTTTATGTTTTTTATTATACACAACTTCACTAATATTGCTTTTATCATGTTTAATTTTATTTAGTAGTTGTGATATTATAGATTGGGGTTGTGGACTAAATTTTATTATTTTTTCATTTGTTGGCCTTCCACTTAAATTACACGCATATTTTGATTTTGTGCCATTATTTTTAGTGTTTGATAACAACTCTTTTTTTTCATCCATGATTATTGATATATTAAGTTTTCTCTCTATATAAATTTTTGCGATTAACCTGCAATGATAAAAGATATTTCTTTTTTTAAATATTATTCCATATTTCACTGAAGATATTTCGAACCACAGATTAGAGAAACCAAAGAGCACATATTATCTATATCATTTTGTGTGATGAAAAGTTTTCAATACAAATAAATATTTATTTCGAACAAGATTTATGTTTTTTTTTATACCACTGAAGTGGTAATCAAGCATACAGCGCACCTGATGGTAAGCGGTTACCGTAGCCTATGAACGCCTACAATACTAGTAAGACGCCTTCCCAAGAGAAAGTAAGGGTCACAGGCCAAGTCTGTCCCTAAAACGAACCTTTCTTCCCAATCTGGTGAAAGGCCAAGTAAGCGAGGCCGGTGCAGGAAGTACAAAAGCGGGCTGTAGAGAAGTGAGGCGTGAAGATTGACCGCATGAAGAGGAAGGTCATAATCAGTAGTACCCAGTTCTAAATGAGCAGGCTTCGAGCGGTCAAGACTCACAGTGACGTTCTTATCGTTAATACAGAGAGTTGCAGTTTTGTTGTTCTGGGACACAATGCGATATGATCTATCATCTTTTAAAAAGACATGAGTAACGTCGGGTTAAATCTTTTAAAATAAATATACTTGATGAAGAATGATGAGATGCTGTAATGGGTCTCATTTTTGATATGGTTCTACTAAGTCTATGTACAAAATCTGAAGCATCCACAGTCTCCTGGTAAGCTAAACCATAAGTGATAAGATAAACTCACTAGAAAAATTAAGGGGGTCTCCATATACTATTTCAGCTGCTGATGCACCAATGTCCCTTAATGTTGATCGGAGACCTAACAGCACTAAAGGAAGAGAGCTCAACTAATCGTCACGGTGACATATCAGTGCGGCCATCAACTGTCGGTGGAGATGTTCCACCATGCCACTCATTTGCGGATGGTAACTGGCTGTCCGCACACATGATGATCCACAAAGCTTAATGAGTCGATTAATAGATCGAATTCAAACTGGCGACACTGGTCTGTAGTGATAGTTTCGGGTATACCAAATCGTGCGATCCAACCAGCTAAAAGTTTCGGAAACGGTTTCGGCGGTCATTTATATCTTAGCTGTTAAGCAATAGATAAAGTTATTTTGAGATGGAAGTGGACCGATAATATCGATGTGAACATAGCGGAAACAACCAGACGGACTGCCGAAATTACTTAATGGTGTGTGACATTGGCGATTGAACTTACTGCGCTGAAAAGGAATGCAATTCCTAACCCATGCCTGACAATCCTTTCTAATACTCGGCCAGACAAAACGATCAGTCACCAAGCGCATGGTTACTCGCGCACCAGGATGACAGGTTGTGTAGTTTGTCAAAATGTGGCCGTCGGAAAGGAGAGGTCAGAAAGGGACGTGGTTTTCCAGTGGATATATCACACACTAGAGTTATGTCAGAACCAGTAATTGCAACCTTTTCTAATTTTAAAGAGATTATATCAAAATTAGAGAGGAGCGTCTGATTGTCTGATTTTGAGAGTTGACTAACTTAGCAAAATCGTAAGCATCTTGTATAGCTTCGACTCGCAACATAGCATCAGCGATAATGTTATCTGAGCTTTTAAAATGTATTATATCAGTTGTAAATTAAGAAATAAAAGACAACTGATAAAGTTGTATAGGTGGTAATTTCTCTCGACGCTGAGAAAAAGTATATATTAGAGGCTTATGATCCATATATATGGTAACGTGTTGTGCCTCCAAAATATAGCGGAAATTTTGAACTGTTTCGTATATCAAGAGTTTACAGTAATAGGCTGGCCATGAGGACTGTTTAGGATTTAGCTTTTTACTGAAGAAAGCTATTGACTGCCAAATATCACCTACTTTTTGTTGAAGTACGACACTAACGTGTGAACTAGACACATCAGTAAAAAGATCAAGGGACTCAACTTGCTGAGAATGAGCAAGTAAAGTGACCTCAGTGAGGTTGGTTTTGCATTAATCAAAGGCTTTCTCCAATTCAAGAGTCCATGGTACAGGCTTGGATCTTTAAGCCTTTGACCTATAGTCACCGCAAGGTCGACCCGATTGGTTCTTTTTAGGAAAAAGATGTACGGGTTATGATCATGGACTAGAAGATGAGCGTGCAGTTTCAGCTCGCACCATATCTACGAATTCCTTTCTTGCGATCTTAAGTTTCCAGGAGTAAGACGGTGTGGGCGACAAGTGACAGACGGTGCATCGGTAGTCTGAATATAATGTTCCATATCGTGAAATGCCAAGAGAGCTTTGGTAATCTCAAGGAACTATGAAAGCAATTTCATATAGGGACAATTGCAATCCAAAACGATGGGTTTAGTGCTAGGCTGATCGCTGGATGCAACGACGGCACGGGATGTTAAGCCAGTCTTTCCATTCAGTAATCGGCGGTTAGCAAGATCAGGAAGGAGATTATAATTGTATAAGAGCAGCTCCTGCAATGGAGGTATTAACATCGGCTATAACAAAATTCCAAAAAATCTCTAATATATAATCTGTGTCTAATAATATAAAATTTGTCATTGACAAATAATTGACATATGAAATATTTTCTATGAATTGAGAAACTATTATCCTGCTATGAATTGACAAAAATAGCAACTGATGTTCTATCTTTCGTCCTGTTTTTACTAATTATATTTACATAAGAAGAAAGGAGACAATCATATGATTCACAGTTTTCATTTTATCATTCGTATGGTTGTTTCAGGGGTTTGTTCAAGAGGCTCATTTAACCCAAACACTAAAATTAAAAAGACTGTAATAAAAAAATAACTTGCCTATAGTATCTATCTATGTGGAACATAATAACGAAGACACTTCAATTTGTATACTAATTTTTACACTTAAGTTTCTTTAAATCTTTAGTCCTTTTACAAATATGTCACAACTTGAAATATCATGTGGTTTGGATTATATTACCACCCCAGACTTGCAAGCATGTCTCACAGAAGCTCTTCACTGCAATTATTCATTTATTGTTTCACCTATTGTTCATCCGCGTTTTCGTAGACAGTATGTTACAAATGTCGGCAAAACTGGCGGATTTACCCGATCGGATATGGTTTTATCACCTCAAGATTGGACTACCAGATTGGTCGGAAAGCTTTCTCCTTATTTAAATGTTGATTCGGCTTCGTCTACCGTTCGTCAACGACATGAAGATTGTATGAACGAGGAATTATCATACTGCCGGGGCTTGGGTGTACCGGCAATAATGCTTACTTTACATGGACGGGACACTAATAATTTAGCAAGAATATTACAAACATATTATGAAACAAGGTTAGCTAAATACTTAGGCTAACAAAAATTTGGTTTGAATTATTTTTATTAACTGTTATATAAATTAATTGTTTAAAGTATAAAATTGGAATATTTAGTGAATATTAAAGATCTTATGATAAATTTGCCATAAAAATTATATATTATGGTAATATCACACTAGTCATCTGCCACACAATCATTAATAATTAAATAATTGCCTGGTCCTCATATAGACAGAAAAGTTAATTTCCTAAATTGGCCTGACTAGGGTGTCATTTATGCAAAGCACCATCATCTGCACTATTGAGGTTGTAATAACAATATGTATCTTATAGTTATGTATATATGTCATACATTTATATATCTATGTTGTATGGAATGTAGGTTTGTAATCTTAATAATAATAATAAAATTGTAAGGAGATAATTTCCATACATGGAAGATATTTAATAAAAAATAAATAGAGGTCTTAATTAGAGCAATAGATGCTAAAATAATAATTTTTATAATATTTTGTCTGTATGTTTATTCTGATATTAAGCAATTATACCAAATTAAATACTGTTATTTTCCTGAAGATCTAACTTAAAATCTGTTGTATGCTTTATCTTGATACACCATCTGAAAGTGGTATATTTAATTAGTTTTTCTATTTCTGAAATCCATACATACAAAGTAGCTAATATATAATGTAAATGTGATAGAAGTATAAGAGAGACCTTGAAAAGTATAATAAACTGAAAAAAGATATGATCAGAGGAGATGCAAATAAAGTTGCAAGAGTAAAGAAAATGAAATGCTAACACCACATAGTAATGGTAAAAGGGCATGAAGGTGATGCAATTTGTTACCTATTAATTTTTACTTTCATGTTTGATGTATTTTTAGCCATCATATATCTCTTATTTGGGCACGAGTACCCATGGTGTGTAATAAAATGTTACGAGACCATGTTGATCATGAAGATAATGGGGATAGTGAGGAATCATGGAATGAAACATGGTTTTGGTGGTCTAAATTCCATGAACGGTTGGAATGGGACAAGAGAGTCGGTGTTGTACTGGAGCTGTCTGCTGATCTCCCATCAGAAGATTTGTTGAAAAGGTGGCTCGGAGAGCCAGTGAAAGCTATTATTGTGCCAACATCTATATTTCACAATAACAAAAAAGGGTATGAATCTTCAATTAATAATAGAACATTATTGTAGAGGCTGAAGTAAAACAATAAACTTTTTTTATTAAATGAGCCCATTAATTACTGTTTTGGCAGAGATTTGTAAGCAAAATAGTTCTTATGAGAGTTAATCATAAGAATAATTTATTATTAGATTGTTTACTAGTAGTTATTAGTAACAACATTGTACATCTTTATACTATAGAAACATTCACATAACAGTACCTATCCATCTAATTTTCATTGTAACCTTTGTTTTATTTAAAAATCTTATAAAAAGAAATATAAATTCTACTTTAAAATGTGCTTCATCATCATAGTTTGAGTATTTATCCAATGCTACACCTCTTATTAAAGTGTACAGGAAGATCTCAAGATTTTCTAATTTAGTTACTGTCTACAGTACAAATGCAAGATATACTATGAAAATATTACTATTTTAGTTATCCAGTATTATCAAGAGCACATCAGCAGTTAGTAGTAAATATGGTGGAACATGAAGCTCAAGTGATAGTAAGTGGTGCTAGAAGATCCAACATAGAGTTCTATTTGCAGTATTTGTATAGGTTATGGAAGAGACGTCCAAATCCAGCTGATGATCCCATGTTAAGTTATGCTAGAGGGTAAAATATTAATTTTTAAATATTTTTTATCAAGTTTTATTTAGATGTTCATTTACTTCTAATATGTAGTTGTAAAAAATCAAGAATATTTTGTAACAAGCAACCACAAAGAAAATGATGGCTTTAATAGTCATAAAATTTACTAATTAACTTGGAATAAACTGTATTGCTTGTAAAAATATTATCAAATTCATTCAGAATTAAAAATGCAATTGTATACATAACAAAAAAAAAAAAGATATCACAATTTTTTACTCACAACCTCATTCATGTGACTGAGAAATATTGGGTAACAGGTATAAAAAAAGGCTACGTTCTTCATCCTAAAATCTACTTGCTTATCAAATTTTATTATAATTAGTAGTGGTAACAAACAATGAGTTTTTTTTTTTATAAAAATGTTTGTAAATTAATAATGATGAAATGCATTTGTTAAAGATGGGAAGATTATCTTCAAACTCCGCTACAACCGCTAGCAGATAATCTAGACACACATACATATAATGTGTTTGAGAAAGATCCTGTCAAGTATGACCAGTACCAAAAGGCCATTGCACTAGCTTTAACTGATCTCCAAAAATTAGATACACAGGTGAATTAAAAATATAATGTTACATGTAACATTAGAAATAGGAACTTATTGAAAGTAATATTGTTTACTGTATTAATTTTCCAGGTTCATAATAAAGATGCTTCTATATTAGATGCTATGGTAGAAAAAAAGGAATCAGGACAAGGAGATAGTGATAATAACAACAAAAAGGTTTTCACTGTTATGGTATTAGGCGCTGGTCGAGGACCATTAGTACGGGCTACATTAAATGCAGCCGATATCACAAACAGTAAAGTGAAGGTACCTATGTGTAGTATATTATATATTTAGAGTTTGACCAAAAAAATCCTATTTTGAAATTAAAATGAGATAAGGGTGTGAACTCTGCAATTATAAAAATATTCTTCAAAATTGATTTAGAATTAGCAAAGATTAATATCTTTGCTAATACTGATCAAGTATCAAAATACACATACAAAATATAATTGAGAACCTCATCTTTTTTTTGTTTGAAAGTACTTGTAAAGTTGTTTGAAGTATTTGTAAAGTACAAATAAATCTATTTTCAAACAAAAAAAAATGAGGTATAGGAATTAAAATTAGAAATAAATCATTTAAATAATAAAATGTTTAACAAATTTTATTTGCAGGTGATAGCAGTAGAAAAAAACCCTTGTGCTGTAGTGGTGCTGGCAGCCCAAGTACGCGAAGTGTGGCGGGACCGAGATGTTGTTGTTGTACCAGGGGACATGAGGCAATTAAACCTGACGCCGAAGGCAGATATTATTGTCTCTGAATTATTAGGTATGATATAAAACAAGGTTATAATCAACTATCTTATATGCTATTTTAACACTGGATTAGCTATATACCCGGTTTCGCTCGTAGTTATACCTTGTTTAAAAAATAAGCTGTCAAACACAAGAATTTTTCAAATCCGATTAGTCACTTTATATATTATATTAGTATAGATAGAAATAGGACGTCCTATGACTATAATCTGACGTTTTGAGAGTGTGGGCATTTAGATGTGTCGCATTTTTAATCATTTTCAGTTGTTTCATTATTTTCATAAGTTGGATAAATAAACTCCCATGGATTAAGTTGCCTTAGGATATTTATACTAAGGCAATATTATTTTTTTATTTTATAGGATCTTGGGGTGACAATGAACTATCACCAGAATGCTTGGATGGTGCTGCTGGTCTATTGAAACCTGGTGGCATATCAATACCCTGTAAATATAAGTCTTATGTTGCACCAATTTCATCTCCACGCCTATGGGCAGCAGCTAAAGCAGCATCAACTGGTACTGTGACATCAAAGGACAAGAATCTTGAAACATTGTGGGTTGTTTATATGCAGAATAAACATGACATAGCAGAAACAAAGGTATAATATGATAATTAGATTTTTTTTTAAAATAAAGTCCTGCCATGTCAAACAATTATGATGATATACACATTAAAGTATCCATAATTGTTAATTGAATAAATTTTTATTCAGCCTATAAATTTATAACTGGTCAGTTACAGTTTGATATGAATGACATTAAAATTAGTTGTTGTAAAATTTTCAATACAACGCGACGTAGCTTTACAAGGCAGCGTCAGCAGCTGACTTCAGAGTTTAGACAGGGTCAGTGCCGTTAACGTAGGTAGTAAAGGAACTCCAAAAATATTAAATGAGAATTTACAAGTCTAAATTAATAAGATAGCAGTCACAAGTCAGCATTATCTTTTGAGTTTGATGTCGATCAGTGCACTAAAGGTGTAGAGAATGTGATGGATATTTTACATATTTATGAATTTTTATATTTATATATTTCTATTTTATTGTATTATCCTAACTTAAAACAAGATACTTTGTACACTAGTGCATCCAAAAACAGCTAGATTAGGAATATCAACCATTGATATTTATTTTTTTATATTATAATAAAAAAATAAATAGTGTAAAGCAATGTAATTGTTCATTTTTTTTTTGTTTGTTAGATATTTTTACAGAAGGCCCATATACAATTCGTAACATAGCGATTCTAGAGTGGACTGCTAGTTTATTATAAAAAGAAGAAAACGAAAAAGTTTAATTTCCAGTCATTGTATATAATAAAATATTTAAAAAATATTAGTTTTATTGGAAAAAAATAATAATTTTATAAGTAGTTTCCTGACACAAAAATATCGCCGGTTATTTTTTGTTTCGTTATTTTAAATGCAAGCCGTATCTTGTCTTTTTTTCTGATTGTATAATATTTTAATATTTTGTATAAATAAAATATTTTATGATAAATTTCAGGAAGTGTTTACCTTTGAGCACCCCGTAAAGGGTATAGTGGACCATAATGGACAAGAAATATCAGATTACAGGGGATTGCCACTAACAGATAACAGAAGATCAGCCACTATATCTTGGGAAGTTAAGCAAGACAACGTAATGCACGGTTTTGGTGGATATTTCGATTGTTTATTATATGGCAATGATATTATAAGTATAGTACCATCTACACATAGTCCTGGTATGATTTCTTGGTTCCCAGTTTTTATTCCAATCAAGGTAATATTTATGATTTAATTGAACTAATTACTTTATATTTTAAGCGGATTGCTTTTATCAAACTGATATTTAAATTTTATTAGTCTTTTAAACAGATTATGGAAAATATTGTTTTGAGTGTTACGGAATTCTTGAATGAATGAAAGAAAAGACTCAAAACATTGGTCAATAAATGTCAAAAAGTTTTGTCTCCTATGGCGCTTTCAGCTGTTGAGTTTATATGATAAACTTAAAATTTGATGTCGTTTTTTTTGATTTTTAATTCACGATGTTTTCTGCTTTAATACTTTCTATAGAATAGGTCGATGCTTATTCCCTTTATTCATAAAAACTAATACCTACTACAAACCTATTTTAACTATTAGTGTTTTGCCACTTTCTTTCAAATTGGGAATTTAGCACAAAATAAGAGATAAAGCAGTTCAATATCTGAAATACTTTTATAAGACGTTTGACTTTATGAGTAAGAGTGTCAATTTAATATACTGCAAATGTTTCGATTTCACTTGTATAGTTTATGGCTAAAACAAAGAATTTTTTTCATATTCATAACATAGTTATAAATTAACAGGTAAAAACTCTTATTTGTTTCAATAAACCAATATGTATTTTCAGACACCATTGCGGGTTGAAAAAGGACAAGTGATAACAGCAACTTTTTGGCGATGTGTAGATTCCCGTCGAGTATGGTACGAATGGATAGTAGAAGTTGGTGATCGGACGACGCCATTACATAATTCCAATGGACGAAGTTCAGAAATGTTATTATGATTTGATTTTTGTGAAATTGCTATAAGTGAAAGTTATTAAATAAATATAATTAAATTTCCAAATTAAAGTTTGTGTATTCAGTTTTAAATAAACACACAGATATATGTAAAAACGATCATGTTACTCATTTCCGGTCTTAGAAAAGATCGGTTGAGCGGCGCTCGGAAGTTCTAAGGTCTAAGAGGCATCATAGGAAGATCAATGATCATTGAAGTAAAACAAGTTTTTTTTATGATGTGAAAATGAAATTGTAGACTTGTCTATGGTAATGGTATACAATAATGTAACACCAGTAGAAGTTAAAAGAAGGTCAGTTGGCCCATTGTAGCAAATTAACCACAACCAACAATGTTAGTAAAAATAGGGTCAATGCTTTATTGTGATTAATTATCCCTCTCCTCTAACAGAAATATACAGCCTCATGGAATCTCAATAAGGGAATAGGGATAGGGAATTTCTTTCTGTATGGCATAATACCAAGTTACTCATGTCCAGGAAGTATAAATTACAGTAGAATGTTAATAACAAAAACATGTAATTTTATTACTACAACAAATAACTATAATATAAATTAACTAAGTATATAATCACAATTCACATATCTGCTTCTCTTTGAATCAGATTTGTATTTATGATGAATAGGTGAAAACTACCTTTTTAAACTATTTTTGGATTAGTCTAACAATGTTCATTTCTTTATGAAAATCATCAATGTTCTGCTCCCATCTTTTTTCAAAATATATTCCTGTAAACAAATATAGTAAATTAGCAGTTATAGACAGATTGAATATTAGAAATATTATTGGTTTCATTTAAATGAAATGATGTTGAATTTAACATATTTCATTGGTTTTGTTAAGTACACTACAATAATTTTAGTCATTCTATAGTGTATATACTGAACATAAACCTCATCCATAGACTGCTATAAAAAATGGTTGTTGGTTTATTATGCATATTAGTTAATTATAATAATTCTTTTTCATACAATATTATTTTTTTATAAACAGTATGTAAATTTATGATGAAAGTGAAAAAATCTACCTTGGAAAAATTTTGCATTGTTTCCAGTTTTTATAGCCCATGGTAAATAATATTTCAGATAAAGTTGTCTATGTTTAGGTTTTAGTCTTCCAGCTCCCCAAATGCCTCCGTTAATACACATAGGTAATTTAGTTTGTATGCCTTCCACCCATTTTACTGCAACCTATAAATAATAAAATAAGTTCTATTATATATAATGCAATTGTTAAGAAATACATTATCTTAGATATTGATACATGAATTTTATCTTTCTTTTTCATATCACACTTATAAGCTTAAACAGATTTGCATAAAATTTGGTATACAAGTAGGTTTTATCCTCACATTACACATAAGAGACTTTATACTATAATACATACAGCCAAATTCATGTGAAACAGCAAGTTAAAATATTATTAAAACTTATATTAAACAACATTATTTGGTTCACATAAAAAACCAGTCATTATATGTTACTAAATCAACTAATGAATAAAACATATTAAATGCAAAAAGTATTATTTAAATCAATTCAAAATTCATAAATATGTCATATGCGTACTTACAAAATACAGACAAATTGCTTCAAGGACCAATTTGTATATAAGTAATAATAAAAGGAGTATGTCATAAATGTACTTGTCAGCCTATACCATAATGACAATAAATATAGTAAGATACTTACTTCCCCAAGCATAGTGGTTTTCATAAATAAAGTTGCATGAACCAGATCATGAACTTCTCTATAGCGCTGCATAATATAAGCCAACTCAGGATCGGATATAAATTGTACAGGTAGTCGTGAATCTGCAGTAATATTATTGTCACGCATGAAATCGGCATATACACGACCTACGGTATTGTTTGGCATCTGAGACAATTGTTCAAATGAAACCGTTTTGGAATTAATTCGGGGCATTTCTTTTAATATTTCGGCACCTTCAGGAGTTTCGAGCATCTTTTGTCGCATGTGTTTAATAGCAGCCTCACCCGTTACTTCGCCTAAACAAGCAATCATATCACCTCGATGAGGATTCAAAAGAGAAACTAATGCGGATCCACATGATAATAAAGTACGTTGAAATGTGTTGGTAGGAATATAGTTTTTTTGAAGTTCTTCTGCGAAACTAGTTCTACTTGACGCGGAAACGCTAAATCTTCTTAAAATCATAAGGGAACACATTTTAAAGCTTATTATGACATTTAATTATTACTGTTTAAATGTAAATAAAAAAAAAAACATAAATAGAGCTATAATAGAGGAACTAAACAGATTAATGAGAGTCTAAAGACAAGACAAATGATGTAGTCTGTGATTATAAAGTTGACAGTGACTTTATAATTACAAAACCTAGTAAAGGTAATATGTTAGCTTTTGAAGTAATGATACAATGAAAATTATAAAAAATATATATGTAATATAGGAAATTGGTAGTAGCACTCACCAGTATTAAGCAACACCGGGACCAGGATCAGTATTAAGGAAAACCAGGACTAGGATTTTAGTTACCTACACTAGTTAATATTAGTCAGTTAGAAAGTTCAGTCAATGTTCATAGTATGTAAGACAAAAAGGTAATCTGTCATATTTATTCAAATATTATTTTTCTTTATTTTACATTGACAAGCGCTGCTAGAATGCATATCGCCTGCCATTGAACCAAGGAGGTTCTTAACATCTTCTCTCGATGTGTAATCCTAGCAGCTTACTAATCTTCTCTAACCTTGGCTTTGGTAAAGCTTTGGTAAAAATATCCGCAAGCTGCCACTCACTGCTAATTTTCTGAACCATGAGATCACCTTTTGTCACAAGTTCTCGAACAAAGAAGTGCCTGATGAGAATATGTTTTGTTCTCTTGTGAAACTCAGGATTTTCCGCTAGTCTCACCGCGGCTTCATTGTCCATAATACTGTATTTCAGTAAGTTCGCTTAGTATCCTAGTTAGCCAAATGCATTCTCGAGCTGCTTCACTGGCTGCAACTATTTCTGCTTCAGTGGTTGAAATTGCAACACTTGCTTGTCTTTGACTCATCCAAGATACAGCACCACCAGCAAACATGCACAGTACTCCAGAAGTTGACCTTCCAGTACCAACGTCTCCTCCATGGTCAGCATCACTATAACACTCTATGATGCCCTTTTTATAGTCCTTTTGATACAAAATACCCATATCTTGCGTATGTTGTAAATAACGCAGAATCCGTTTCAGCTTTACACAATCGTCTTCAGTTGGATTTTCCAAATTTCTTGAGACGACACTAACAGCAAATGCAATGTCAGGTCTCGTTCCAACCATGAGATATGCTAAGGCTCCAACAATATGTCTATAATTCAACAACATATTACTCATGTCGACCTTAACCCGGTTTTGAGACATGTCTCTAACAATTGGTGTATGCACCGGTCTGCAGCTGTCCATCCCAAACCGTCGAAGAACTTTGTTCACATAACACTTCTGATGAATTTTTATGCCGTCTTCTCTGGTTATTATCTCTATACCGAGAAAGTAGGATACAGACTTCGTTGTGATTTTAAATTTTTCCATTAAATCTTTTAGGAAATTTTCGATCAGTTTCTGATTAGACGCAGCTACCAAACCATCATCCACATAAAGAGCCACAATGAGCTTCTCGCTAGACTCCTTTCTTGTGAAAAGGCATGGATCAGCATCAGATACTTTCAAACCGATTTCCTTGAAAAAATCTAATATACGCTTGTTATGCCTGCTTCAAACCATAAAGACTTTTCTTCAGTAAACAAACTTTACCAGAGTTATCTTCATAACCTTCCGGCTGTCGCATGTAGATCATCAAGATCGCCATACAGAAATGCAGTGGATACATCAAATTGCGCCATATGCATCTGTTCACTAAACATATACACTTCTAATGGTCGCCATTCTTACTACAGGACTGAATGTTTGATAATAGTCCACGCCTTTCTTCTGACTATATCCCTTAATAACAAGCCTAGCCTTGTATATAGCATTTAATTTGACCTTGAAAACCCACTTGCAGGGTATGACTTTCCGACCTTTCGGGAGATCTACCAACACCCAAGTTTTATTTTCCTTCAGAGAATTAATTTCCTTATCCATTGCCTTTCTCCAAAGTTTACTTTCAGCACTTCTCACAGCTTCCTTGTAGCTATTAGGTTCCAGTTGATTACCAGTGCTCTCTCCATTTATATTATATAGAACAAAATCATTGAATTTCTGTGGTAGACGAAGCGATGACCTATCTCTAAGAATACAACTACTTTCCTCTATAATCTCATGTTCATCCATAGTTTCGTGAAGCTCGGCTTCGTCATAATATAGGAAATTGGTAGTAGCACTCACCAGTATTAAGCAACACCGGGACCAGGATCAGTATTAAGGAAAACCAGGACTAGGATTTTAGTTACCTACACTAGTTAATATTAGTCAGTTAGAAAGTTCAGTCAATGTTCATAGTATGTAAGACAAAAAGGTAATCTGTCATATTTATTCAAATATTATTTTTCTTTATTTTACATTGACAAGCGCTGCTAGAATGCATATCGCCTGCCATTGAACCAAGGAGGTTCTTAACAATATGTGCCTATGGATAATAATGGAATGGTAACCCCGCCTGCGCTGTCGGTATACACTCGTAAAATTAGCAAAAATAATGATTTGGTATGATAATAAAAAAGTCTAATAACTAGTACTTACAAGTATATAAAACATTGTTTAGATAATATAACAAATATACCATATATTTTAAATGTGAATAATTAATAACATTACATATATATGGAAGTATATTCAATAGATATACACATACATATAGTTTAATCAATATGATTTTATTAATTTAATTTTAAATAATCATATAATTATGTATATATGAGCATATAATACATAAATAAATAAGAATGACACATCTACTTTTAATAAATTTTCAGCTTGCTCAAGAATACAAGAAGCTCTTCACGGCATACATGTTTCGACATATCTTTTAAAGTAAGTATAATTTTTTTATAAAAATGTGAGCAAAAGTAGTTTTCCATGCAGGAACCCTATATACTTCATTCGGTCTTCTCGTTATTCCTATTCTGCGAGGAATGCTGTTTAAGTATAACAATTTTATTTTTTTATATGGGTACGTAGATATTCTTTAGGAATGAATAAATGTTTTTTTTTCAGATACTGTTCAACTTGGTACAATACTTCTAATTATTGTCTAACGCGTCAAAGAGAATATGCAATACTCGCCTAGCAAAAAAAATTAAAATTTAAGTAAAGCAATATAAAGTTACTAAACATACTTGTTCATATGTTTCGTAGAATTTTAAAATTTATATTACCAAATAGCTAGGCTTTTTGACAACAGTCAATATTTATATTTTGGATGGAGACATATAGATTGCATTGCATGGATTAAGGATAATTATTTATGGTTTTTTTTTATTTTTATTGTGTTGTTACTTTGAAAAGGTAATATGCACTATATTTGCTAAGTGGATATAAAGCTACTGCCAATTCTTGTAAGGTTGTGATTGAATATTTACTCTAATCTGTGGTCCTTTTTGATTAGTTGATTACTGTCTCTGTGTGGTGTGCATTGATAATTAGACTGGAGTGGCCTATTCAAACACATATTTTGTATTATATTTTATTATTATATCAACCAATAGTTATAATAGTATCAGGTACCTAATAATGTATTTAAGTGGATAGATATCAAAATCTTTCTATAATATTTAAAAAGTAACTAATGAAATTGTCGAAATAACCTATAATTTTTTTTTATATTTACAGATTTTATAATCATCAGTATATAAACACAGTCGTTTTACAATGTCTATACAAAAGAAAAAAATAAAATCTAAAAAGCTGAGGACAGCGTTAGCAAAGGAACTGAGTTTCGTAAAAAATGTTTTTTCAATGTTATCCATACCACTGCAAATCAAAAGTAAGATTTTTTTTATTTATGTAATTAAGAATAGCAAACACGTTGACAACCCACTGAATGGAAAGAGCTAATGTATTATAATACATGAACAGTACCATATACAGACAAAAAAATTATTCTTTGTCACACATAAATTGCTATTCGTTATTTTTTTTAATACAGAAAAATATATATTCGTAATATGACAATAATTATTAATTTTACATGCAGTTAGGCCAGTACATATGCTAAAACTATATATGTTTAAAATTAGATTAGTTTTGGTGTTGCGGTTACTACAAAACCATGCACAGCCAAATACAAATTATTGGGGGAAAGGGCTTGTAGCAATGGAGTTTGACAGCCCCATTGCTAGCAATATGCCCTATTAGGTCGATCTCTACGTGGTTTCCCCTGGAAACCATCATGAACAATTCTTGTTGACTTTGTCATGATGGGCTAACTGATCTGCTTTATCGTCACCTATCATCCTTCACTGATGTCCTGCCAGTGTAAACCTATAGCATGAGTGGGGTTACCATTCCATTATCATCCATTGAATACAAATTACTTTTTATTTCATCAGGACTATTTTCCCTCTATGGAAGATTGAAGGTACTGATTCATTGTAAAATGCATTAGGTAATGTAATCAATAAATCTGCTTACACCCTTCATTGCTGTCAACACTATTGATGTCAATGTAATATGAGACTATATTTCTTCACATATAATAAACAGAAAAACACGGCAGTATTGGTGCAAACATTAATATTTTCTATTTTTCTTTGATTATTTTTAATTGAATTTATTAAATTTTATTTTTTTTTAAATCACGTCTTGGTCTACCTCTTAACAGTACCCTTAATTCACTCTTCTCCAATTTCTATTATTTATCATTTTAAAGTTAATTTAAAAATATATAAAAATTTTGACTTTGAAAGATTTCTTACAGATTTCTTTTGAAGAATTTCTGGGTACTTCTTGTTGACATCAATGTATTTTACCAACACTTTGACACTGTAAAATTCTTCTGTTTTTTATAAAGATTTATTCTGTTTGGGCAAAATATATATTACTACTTTTTTCTGGATGAAATTGTGGATGTGTATCATGCAGGAGGATATCTGCTGTTACCATAATTTGGTTTTGAAAATAGGAAACCCTTAGCTTTGTAGACACACATGGGTTTTTTATGATTATACTATCTTCTATATGTGTATCTTTTTGAATGCCTGTAGTTCTAACTGATTTACAATTTTTTGTAAGTGGGCAGTACTGCACTAGGCAATTCCAGTGTGGGGTGCTCTATCTTGTTACATATTACTTCATTTAAGTAATAATGGTTCATTTGTGAGAAATAAATTTAGGTAGAAGTGATAGTAACAGTTTGCTATGAAGTGTAGCTATGAAGTTGTAAATTATATTTACTTAAATAATGAAGTGTAATTTTTCTTTTTCAGATGAGGATGAAGATATGGATTTTGAAATAGAACATAAATCTGCGGAAAATAAAGAAATTAATGATCTATCTAAAAGAGCTCGCAGCATTGCTGAACTGGAAGAAAAATTAGAAAAAATAAAGTCACAGAACAAATTTACACTAAAAAATAAACTAGCAAAAAAAAGTTTAAATAGCAAACTTAACAAGAAGATGAAGAAAAAAGAGAGATTGAATAAAAAAGGCATGAAAATGACTAAGAATTTAACACAAATTGAACAGAAAACAGTAGAAAAATCTGAATCGAAGGAAGTTAATAAATTTAATATTGCAAAACCAGTTTTTAACAATGATGGTAAATTGGTATTTTCAAAGTTTGATTTTGCTAATGTTGGGCAGAGAGGTGAGTGTATTTTTATCTATAATAAGGAATATAATTGTTTCTTGTAGGTATATGCTTACATATGTAAATAAAATGTTTGGTTTAAATTTCTATAATGCTAATAGATAGATTTTTTATGCAACTTAGAATGGCAAACAAGCTCATGGAAATTAGTAACCATTGCCAATAGAAATGAGCAGATCCATGGACATAACAGAGTAACATAACATGGACATAACACTGTTTCACTTGTTATACCCTCTATGTGTTGCCATTCCTAAGGACTCATGTGTTATTTCTCTGTACCCTGTAAATTCACTGCCATATCCCACTCTTCAAACCAAAATACAGCCATGCAAACAACTGTTTCACAGTAGAAACATGAATAGGGCAGAAGTGCCCAAGCAAACAACATTAGTACAAAGTCTCTCTCTGGTAAATGGATTACTTAATACATAAACAAATTTAAGAAAATATGTATTGAACTATTCCCAGTGTGGCCATTTACTTAGAATATTTTATTACAAAAAAAAATATTTAACATATTGATAGAGATTATTTGTAGTTGATATTTCCAAGTGAAGTAATTAATAATAACAATTAAAATTACATTAATTAGAATATATTAAGAAGATCAATTATTTTTAATTTATAGATAAAGGAATGAAAGCAGAAAAAGATCCTCAAAAGATTTTAAATAATTTGAAGCAACAAGAAGAGAAAATACGAAGATTGGAAGAGACTGAAAATGATAAAGCGAGAGAATTTAAAGAAAAAGTGGCATGGAAAAATGTATTAGAAAAAGCTGAAGGACAGAAAGTGAAAGATGATCCATCTTTGCTAAAGAAGTCTATTAAAAGAATGGTAATGTTTAGTTTCTGTTGTTTGTATATATAACATGTGTTAGCAAGTTTGGAAAAAATAATTGTTAACTCAAAACTGTAAATTTATTTTTTAAAAGCATTAGTTGGTTTTTCTAATGGGATCGATTCTGAGGTGCCATTTTTCTAAAACTACCTCTAGAATTAAAATTATAAATTGATATCACAGCAAAATTTTTATTGGAAGGAAATTAGATGATCACAGAAACCATCATAAAATAAAATTATAATTAATTTGACTTAAATCTATTAGAAAATGAGTTCCTACTAATCTTTCCAATAAAGATTTTACTGTAATTACAATTTTAAATTTTGATGTTATAGATTATTTAAGTAAGTAGGCCATAAAAAACTAATTGTTCTTAGGTAATAACTTCTCATTAAAATTTATTGTATTTATTATTTTATAAATGGTTCAATAAAGTGTAAAATAAATAAATAATTTAGCAACATTATCAAATTAAAATATAATGATTAAGAGATAGTTTTAGATAATTTACACTTCTGGAACAGCCTCAGTGTTTTATAAATTTTAAATAAATTTTTTTTAATAAAATAAATTAATGTGTTTCCAGGAGCAAAAGAAAAAACACAGTAAAAAACAATGGGAAAACAGAATAAAAAATGTAGAACAAAAGAAGGAAGAAAGGCAAAAGAAGAGGAAAGAAAATATTGGGAAAAAAGAAGAAAGAGAAAAAAGCGAAAGTTTTGAAAGCAGCTGTTAAAAGAGGTCGCGTTGTTATATGAATAATCTTTATATATTTAAAAGTAATAGAAATAAATAATTGCATTCAAGTTTACGAAATTATAAGAAATAAATAATTTACTTTTGCTATAGTCCTTTTTTTAATATTTCAAAGACATTTCATAAACTATAATCTTAATAGTGGTTTATAACAAATTCTGTATTTTTTGTTCATAATATTTATTATATCAACCGATTTTAATGGCATTTGTAGAAATATTTCCTTTTACTTCGTAGATAGGATAGTTTTATCCTGATAAGAAAAAAAAGCTGATCAAGTGCGAGTCGGACTCGCGCAACGAGGGTTCCGTACATAATTCTCAAGATATTTTTTTTTTGTGAAATAACTACAAATTTACTGTTTTCAGATTTTTTTCCTTTATTTGTGCTACATGACATTGCTTCTTGCCAAATTTAATGATTCTAGGGCAACGGGAAGTAGGGTTCAAAATATAAATGAAACATAAATGGCCGTATCATTTTTTTTACAACACAGGGGGCAAACGAGCTTGCAGCTCACCTGATGGCAAGTGACTACCGCCACCCATGATCACTCACAACACCAACGGCATTGCAAGTGTACTGTCGACTTTTTAAAAGGGATCTTTGATAGCGTCGATTTAAAAGCTTGATCGCTGCTTTAAGAGATTACAGACCTGAGTATATCATATTATTTTCAAGTGTATACCTACACGCGTTCCTATGTAAAAGGGTATTGACAGACGGACGGACGGATAGGCAATGAAGTGATCCTATAAGGGTTCAGTTTTTTCCTTTGGAGGTACGGAACCTTAAAAATTACATAGTCGATCAATTAAGATATTAATCTTCTATGACACTTTTGAATAATCAATCAGAAATATTGAAAATAATTCAATTGTTTTTGAAAATTGGCAGATATTTTCGACACACTTTTGTATGAACAGTATTTAACAACAAGTGAGACACTACCACGTGCCGTACTGGTGATGTAGAATGTGCCAACGTTTCTTTGTCTCGGGTTTTCGGGTCTTGATCTCCGGTTAGTCAAGTTTTAATAACAAACTAGCATTCATTTGGGTGGTGCTCTCAGGTATTTGATAAAATTATGCAAGTGGGTGTGACTAGCACAAATGAGATCGAGCTATGAAATTTATCTGACTGCGTGTTCTATCATTTCTGTAATTATGTATTTGTATAGTATAAAACTTGTTATTTTTACTTAATGTCCATATAGCTATTTCTTAGTTGTGATTGTACTACCCGCCAATGTTAAAATATTTCTTCATGTGTAATCTTGAAGCTTATGATTATAATAAGCATATACATGTCGGTTTAGAGAAGTTTGTTGTGATTGTCTAGATTTTGAAACTAATCAAGGGGCTGTTGGTATGCACTTATTTGGTGTAAATAACAATTTGATTTTAGTAAAAAGTAGTCGAAGTTTTTATTTTCAAATACATATACTTAGTGTAACGTACTACGTACATTTTATAATCTAAGGTCCAATGTTACCTAAGTTTGTCAAGGCTTTTGGTTATGCCTATCATTTTGGTTTGTTTGAAGATTAGACTATATCGTTGCTTTCCGTCAGGTGAGATCGTGATCAACCCTTCAACAGTAAAAAAAATCTTCGTTGTAGATTATATCAAACATCAAATTTAGCCCGACCCAACCCTATTTCAGGTGTATTCATCACGATGTGCTAACTGACCTGTCTTTTCATTTTCATCTATCGTCCCTCACTGGTGCCCCTCGCCAGCGTACACCATTACTACTATTTCATTACCATATATTAAATAAAAAACTTCTTCAAATTACTAGTATTTTGGTGTTAGGATGCAAGGTGTGGCGTACTTTTTCGAATTCTGTTGTTGAAATCAGACTTGATATTACAAACTATTCCAAGTATTTTTTTCGAACTATAATGTTATTAGCCACAGATGGCCATTGCAGTTTCACCCAAGATAACAGGGCGAGTGCAAACTGGGCTTACGGACGATTTACAGGGCGTTGTTTTGATTTCGATTCTTACTTGAAGGTACAAGTAGTTTCGGACCGGCTGTGCCGCTTAACAGCCGGGCGCTGGGTTGCAAGGTTATTGATTCAAGTATCGACTCCAGAACTTACGAGCATATTGCACACTATCTATATACTTAAGTGGATTAATATTTACACGCTTAACGTAGGTAGGTACTATTCTACAACTATTATTGAAGTTTGGCTATCTGTGTGTTAACTAAATAGGATATTAATAACGGTAAATAACAAACCATGTCAACAGAAAAGAAAAGAAACTTCGTTTATTTTTGACAATTTAGGTATTGTACACTTGTATTTTTGTATTGTGTAAAATACATACTTTGGCTCGGTAGCCATGTTTTATAATATTCAGACAAGGAATTAATCATGCGAACAGACAAAAAGGTTAGAGCGATGGCTTATACCTAAATCGTAAATGTGTAGCATTTATAGAAATATGGAATCTACCTAATTCGTTAGGTATTTAATTATACAGAATTAAAAATAAAACTAGACCAACAAGGCTTCATAGCGGTCATTTAACAAATTAGGTAGTTTCTTGATAATAGACTGGATTCTATTCTTTAGGATTCTATTATTGAAATAAAATCATCGTTATAATTTATCTAAATATTTGTGATCTCTGACGTGTGACAATTTATATAAATAATAAATGACAAATACGTACTATTAATATTTTAGATGTTACAGCGAGTCCTGTAATAGTGTTTTTCAAAGCTTTTTATGGTGCGACCCCTTAATATGTATTAGATATACAAGACTACGAATTTTGAACAGAGGGCGTAGTTCATTACATTAGAATTTCGTCGAACTTGATTTGCTATGTATTGAAATCTTTGTGTGAATCTTTTTTTTTTTGAAATCTTAGTAAATGAACAATATTAACAATAATGTAATACTTTCAGCAATAAAGGCCTATTATTATTATTATTATAAACGTAATAAAAATATTTGGCTTAAGCGTAAGAAAAATTTGTATTGTTAATATCAGACTTCGTACCGGGAAAACGTCATTTGCAGGAAGAAAGTAACGAGAAACTGAAAGAAAAACCATTTACGAATTGTTATAAAGATAAAAAGGAGTGTTTTACCTAGAATTATTACGGGTGATAAAAAACGGATACATTTTGATATGGTTTGATACGTAAAACCGTATGTGTTAAGCCTGGTGAACCAGGTCTATCAATGCTAAAGCAAAATATCAATGGCAGCAAGGTTTTCCATAGCTAGGTATCAGTTAAATACTGTCCCGGATGACTGTATCCTCTATAGTATGTATCCTGTATGATAGTAAAAATAGCAGTTTAGTTTCCGAACAGTCCATAGTGTCATATTTGCATAGTAAAATCGTCTACAATGTAGAGAGATAGTGTAACTTAGATAGGTCAAGCGCTAGGTTTACAACTCTCTTTTCATAATTTAATTGTCAAGATAGTTATAGTCAAAGTTGCCTTCATCATCGCCTGCGTCTGCGTTGTTGACAGAAAACCACTGAAAATAGGTATACCGTGTCGCTGCCGTACATGAAAAAGCAATAAGACGATAGTACAACTAAATAGCTAATAAGTGCGATACGATCTTCCGCGACTCCCTTGTAGAGGCTGGGACCTACCAGGGGCCGCGACTCACGCTTTGAATAACACTGCTGTATTGTATGTATATTGGGCAGGTAGATAATTTTCACAAATTATTTAAGTATGAAAAAATATTGACTATTGTTGAATATAATAAGAAACGTATTGTACATACATTCGCTTCAGTAGAAAACTTTGTTTATAATTAGAGCAGAAAATAATAAACTTACTGTTTTACAGTCTACAGCACTAATAGATAAACTATATTCTATTAACTAAATTCATATGAACACATTTTTTCTTATTTCTAGGTGCTTTAAAAGTTACACACCATGCTATATTACTACAAAAACAATATGCAGGTAGCTTGAATTTTTTACTGTTAATTCGGCAGGCAGAAGGTGGATTACTTATCTTTAAAATATACGTCGGTTCGTGTATTTTGTACTAATAACAACGTAAATGGTAATATTTAACAATGAAATCTATTAATTTATGCTATTATAATTATCTATATCAAGTTAATATGTAATGTTAAAATATACACATTAAGTAAATTTTTCAAGGTCAGTTGTTTTTGTTTCGACTGATTTTTTATGGTATTCAAAAAGGTAAAGGTATATTTTGTCTTTCACTGATAGTTCCATAATGATCGCATTATTATTTAAGTTACAGCAAAATTATATTGAAGTTAGCAGCTAATTTTATTCTAAACTCAGTGGAATGATTAAAAATCTTATAAAACAGTACCCAAGAAACACGATCTAATTTAAAAGCTCTAAAAATTCACTATATACGTAAACGATAACACAGACAAGGAAAAAGGGACACCGAGCCGCGTAAATACCGATGTGAAACGTGATTAAACCACCCACAATGTATTTATTGCAACAAATAGGTAATAGTATTACAGGGGTGGTTATCAGGTGGTGTAGCAGTGAACAGCAGAATTACAAACGGTTATGCCATACGTATAGAATGTACATATGTACATTCAGGCACTTCGAACGCGAGTTATTTTCTTGTTAACGGAGTTTTAGTTCATAATAAAATTAGCCAGCGTTTTGTTCTGATACTTCATCAATTGCTAGCAAGAAGATAAAATAGAATATGGACGAAAATTAATCTTATTTTAATAAAATAATTAATTTTCGACCTAGACCTGCATATTGAATATATTCGTATATAAAATAACTTTATTAAAATAAGTTTATTAAAATAATATTAATAAATATCTAATAAATAGCGGCTTCAGTATTGAATGGATAAGGGCACGCTATTCCTCCTCAGTTTAAAAGAATGACAAGACTGGAGGTTATTGTCACGCACGCCATAGATTTCTGAATTTGTTAGACAATGTATATGCACAGACCTTAGGTAATTACTTTGCTTAATTATTCATAGTACAAAATATAATTTATTCACATTTGTCTTATAGTTAAGTAACTATGTGGTCGATATTTATATCAACCACTGTTTAGACATGGATAAATCGGCTATTTTCAAATGTCTTATTTGTTATTTAGTGATGTGTTATATATAATATTTGATTATGATGAAAGTATTTATAATAAATTATGCATATGGGAATTATGTTACCCGTGCTAGTGTATTTTGTGGGTTCAGTCTTGTCATTAAAATAATATAAAGGACCTTGTTTCTATGACAATATAAAATTTAACATTAATGTTATTTTCGAGTTTTATCTAAACACTAATAACATAATAGAAACCAAAATGTTTCATACTATACACACAAAATATAATATTGTTACAATCATGTATCAGTTTGAATTTAATAAAATATAAAAAAATATGAATTGTTTGTCACTAATGTCTGGTTTTCTAAGAACTAACATAATAAATTATATTATCCATACACAATCAAGTAGTATTGTCTAATATTAATGATAATGATGAATATATATTATGTTTTAAGTATCATGTACATTAGATAACATACTTGATTCTGTATGATGTCATAGACAAAGATTATTCTTGCTCAAAATGGTGGGACATCAAGTCATGAATCTATTATAAAAAACTGATATAACAAAAGATACTACTTTTTGGTTGCAATGTAAGCACGAGTCCAAAATATTACTAAAAATATATTACGAACTATTATTATACTAAAACTATTTATATAAAAATAAATCAGGTTATAAGAGTCGAAAACAATTGTAAATAGCAACATTAATAAAAAGCCTCCAAATAAAAGTATTCTTTCTTTTAAATAACATGATTGAAATAAATAAAATTAGAAATAAGATTATATAAAATATGCATACTCAGAAAAAATCAGAGTATAAATAACTGTTAGGTAAAAGTTTAATAAAGGCCTAATAACTTCGAATATAGCCTCAATCCTTATATTTAGGATGAATATACTACTATACTTAATATTCAATAAACATTACACTTATATAATTCTACAAATTGCAGCAAAAATTTTTCAGTGTATAACACTTGAATAAATATTATGGGTAAAGAGAACACAACAATTATTTCCCATAACCACAACATGCTCAAGGCTTAGCCAATGGTTGATTGCACTTCAATAACTTCACTTAGTTCTATAGCTTTAAAATGACACGAAATATAATATTTAACAAAACTTGTCTTTAGTTAGTATTTGAAATACCTAGTACACATAATGATATTATATTTAGAATCGTCTTTGGAGCAGAAAGTACTTAAGAGCACTGGAAAATAGAATTTGCTCTTGGTACAGTCTCCACTGACTGTTTATCATTATTATTATACTAATATAAACTTAAGTAACCTAAAATATGATTAACTATAAATTATAAAAATAATGTAGTTTTAACATTTCTCCAAAATAGAAAAATAAAAAAATGTTGTAATACTGCACATAAACATTACTCTAAATCAGTCAAGGCATTGTTATATTCAAATAAAATATATGTATCTGTCATGTCACAAATCAAGAAAAGTCAGGTATGGTTTTTATACAATTAGTAAAGCTGTTCCTGGAACAGGTTAAGTTACAGAATTAAAGGCAAATAACAAATTCAGCATATTCAAATACATGGACAGGCCCTACAAATATTACAGGTGATAAATTGCCAATATTTAATTCTTACAATGTAATTTCCAAAATAAGCTAAAAATATTAAATTAAAAAATCCATGTAATTGAATACACTGTAAATAGTTATACTGCTTATTCTACTGTATTAATCTACTAACTAAAGCCTAAATTTAAATGGTAATAATAAAGCAAGTCGTGAGGCGGGATATTTGCATCAGTCTTGTGAAATTCTCAATTGTGAAAATTATTACTGTCATTGATTTAACTATTTGGTAATATTGTAAACAAATAAACAGTTAGTTTTAACTTTGTATGTAATAGCTCTCTAGTAGATGTCATCAATTTAGTTCTGATTTTAAAGATGAGAGAGTAGCATCAAGTTGTCTATTAGTGGCATAGCCAGGTATATTAAGATAGGCCGGTTTATCATGTTCACAGAGTCCTGGTTGTGTACAACATCTGTTCATAGATGTACCAGCGGCACTTGCTGAGCTAGTGTGACTTCCACCTGCTTCAGGTGTTGTTCCTTGACAAATCATTTTATGATTTGAAAATTGTTCTAGTGAACGGAGTTGTTCACCACAGTTTTCACACTTTAGTTCCCTAGCATGCACCTTTTTGTGACTATTTAGTGACCTTGAATTGTCAAATACTTTAGTGCACATGTCACAATATTTTAATATTTTTTCCCCTGTGCACACAACTTTATGGTTATTGAGCCTATCAAGAGACATATAACGTTTATTGTTACACAAATCACATTTGAATTGCCTCTGGGGTACACGGCCAGTATGAACCTGCATGTGTTTACGAAGATTACTCTTATCTTTAATATATTTTGAACATACAGAACACTTGTTTACATCTTTACGTGTATGATTAGCATCTAGATGTCTACGAAGATGTGATTTCTTGTGAAATGGCTCTAAGCATATTTGACATCTAAACGGTTTTTGTGTTGGATGTACACCTGTCAAATGTGTATTGAATTCAAGGATAGTGGGGTAACTTTTCCTACAATGAGGACAATGGAAAAGTTTTCTACATATAGCAGCACTGGAATCACAAAATGGATCCGAACAATCATCACAGAATGAATCGAGTCCTGCTGGAGGAGTGGCAGTTCCTGTAGGAAAATTGTCTAGTTCACTCTGTAAAGTATCCCTGTCTGGTGTACCAGCACCAGCTGGTTCTTGTTTCACTTTTGCTTGTTCACTATTTTCAGAATACTCCTCTTGCGACGGGATATTTCGTGAAGTGCTAGCAAGCATCCACCAGGGGTTATAGTGCCATGCACCCAGGCCTGCAGTTTGTGTCTGCCCTTTGATGTCACTAGGCTTTGTTTGTGTTTCAGCGTTCGTGAATCCCGGAAAACTGGGCAATTCCTGATGTTTAGTTCTTGTTGATTCAAATATACTATGTTGAGATATTAAATTTTCGTAGTCACTCGACTCCAGCTTCCTTTCATTTCTATCACTTTGATCTCTTTTGGACATGTTTTTATATATTATAACCTGAAATTAGAAGTTATAGTCGTCGTATTAAAATTTGATAAAAACAGAAGTAACAATACCTATTGGATTATAAAGTAGTGAACGTAATAACAACAAAAGTAAACAAACAACGCAGTTACGCGCCCAAGTCTTATTAGTTAAAGAATTAGTTTAAATTTACATAATTGTACACTTTATTGTAATTGTGAATAAAAGAGATTACTAAAATTATAATAATTTTGCATTTTGGAGAAAGATAGATAAAATTAAAACTTTATTTATCAACAACGATTTACGAATAAGATTAAGCGCGTTCTTATTTTTCTGGTCTAAAACAAATTGAATCTATGCTTAATTTTAAATTATTTCCACACATTATTAAACGCAATAAAATAATCTGAAAACACTGTGTAATACGTACTATTTAAAGAATATTATCCATAAAAAATTTCTACAAAATTATTTCAAAGAAGATCGGCCATTTTGTATGTATGTATGGTTAAAAACTGTTTTTTTTTCTAATAGCAACTGGATTCGAGCAATTGGACATATTTATTCAAGTTTTAGTTAGTCACTTGTTTCATATATGGTCAAGTCAAATGGTCAGAACAGATAAGTCAAAATAAAAATATTCTTTATACACAGCTATTTATGTGAAAAAGATGAAGGAGTTGCTAACTGTTCCGTCTTCTGATTCTCTATAAAAAATAATACTGTAAAATAAATTTATCTAAAAATCATAGCAGTAAGTAGGTACCCAAGTAATCACGCTGGTGTTTAAAAATCCGTATTGCGGCAATTGGTTAATGAATTTATATAACTATCTAGAAAAATTAATACATTAAAATAAATTACATTCATATCTAGTTATTGTAATAATTGTACAATTATATAAAATATGCTTTTCCAAAATATTGATAGGTATCAATAAATGATAGTTTAAAATTTTCATATTCAATAAAGTGGTTGCATAAAATACTTTTTAATTAATAAAAATATACAACAGGAAAAAGACATCGGTCTGCAAGTACTATTAGTAGACTAGCGGACTTCAATAGACTGTTAATATTAAAAAAATAATTAATATTTTTACCATTGAGGTTATCTAGTCTAACATTGTACAACTGGAGGAAAGGGATTGTTAATAATGGAAACTGAGAATCCCATTGCTAGCAATATAGCCAACCAGGTCGACCTCCTCGCGGTTCCCCCTGGAAACTATCATGGTTAATTCCTGATGAATTCATCATGATGGACTAACTGGCCTGTTTTCATTCTGATCTATCACCTTTCACTGGTGCTCCGCCAGCGTATCCCGTTAGCGCAGATGGGGTTACCATCCCATTCTTTTTAGCAAAAAAAAAACATTGTACAACCTTAATCGTGCAGTTGTCAACTGTTATTTGTACAGAGTGATGTATAAGAGTTTCCTATCTGCTTATATCTGTGGGGTTGCGCGGAAAAAAGGCGGGAAACTCGAATAAGAACAAGCGGGTTTTTTAAATTTTTTTTTATTAATTTATTAAAACTATCTCTATCAATTCTTATTATTGAATAAAATATTATATTTTCACTAAATTCAGCGACAGTAATATAATTAGCATTCATGGGGAAGCGCAGTTGTAGAAAAAGGAAAAAAAAGATGACGATTCAGGTGATGTAGACCATGAACCTTGTAATGACAAGGATATATATTTGGAAGATACTTCTACTGACTCAGAATCTGAAATTGATAAGGCCGATAAGTATAAACCTTACTACGTCACAGATTATATTAGAAGATAATCCCCTGGGACAGAATTTGTTGTCTTTGTAGAATCCTCAGATAGTCAGAAAACCATTGGATCCAGAGACTTGCTCTCACTCTTGTTTAAAACGATTTAATTTTATCTTAGATCTATAAATAAATTCAAAATCGGAGTATACTTTCAAAAGCCAGACTTAGCCAATGCTTTTTTAAATAATAAAACTTTTTTAAATGACTACCATTTTAAGGCCAGTATTCCTGCTTCTTCAACAGAAGTTACAGGCGTTATTAGAAATGTACCTACAAATATATCTAATAAAAAAATATATACTATGATATCGAGTTCTAAGAAAATTATTGCTATTAAAAGAAAGAAAAAATAAAAATGACAATTACTTTTGCTGCATCTGTATTACCTGAATATCTGGATATTGGAGGTTGGGACAATGTCACTCCATATATACCACCAGTTAAACAATGCTACCGGTGCTTGAGGTATGGACATTCTAAATTCTGTAAGAATTTGAGCGTTGCAGATCTGCAAAGGTGAGCATAATTATAAAACTTGTACAACTGGAATGGAAAACGCTATTTGTGTACACTGCAATGGAAATCACACAAGTGTATCAACTGTTAAACAAAAGAAAATTGCTGAAAATAGATAAAACAGACCTGCTTCTTTTGGAGATATACTTAGCACTGAAATATTTCCTAAACTGGGTAACAAACCTAAAAAAAATGTAGACCTAATTTCAATTCTAAATTCTGATAACAAGAGTTTATCACTTTTAATAGAAAGCATAATCAAACTTATTTCACTACATAACACAAAGAACACATCTATTAACACTAAAAGTGTTTTGAATGTGTTATATGATACTTTTGGTAATAGACCTATTTCACAAAATTCAATCGAGACCAATTAACTATCATACAGTGGAACGCTCAGAGCCTACTGAGCAATCGACATATTTTTACACAATTTTTAAATGAACATCATATTCACATTGCTCTCATCTCAGAAACTTGGCTAAAACCACATTACAAATTAAAAATTAAAGATTATTGGAAAACGAAATGATTGTGGTAATAACCACAATGGAGTAGCGATTATTATACATAATAGTATTAGATATAAAAAACTTCACTCTTTTTTCGACAATTCTTTGCAAACTATAGCTATTAGTATTGAAGTTAATAATTCTTGGTATTCAGTTGCCAGTATTTACTGTCCTACCAATAGTACACCTAGTTTTACTAAAGCCAAATTTAAGTTCTTTTTGGAGTCTCTTCCTAAACCCACTATCATATCTGGAGATTTAAATGCACATCATACTATGTGGGGTTGTACCTCCACTAATACAAGAGGTAAAGACATTCTTGATTGTTTAGATGAATGTAATTTGGTACTATTAAATGATAAGCAAGTTACTACTGTTGGCTCTCATATTTGGAGACCCAATGGCCTTGATTTAACTATGGTATCCCCATCCATATCATTAAAATGCGAGTGGTCGGTTCATGATGATCCATTAGGAAGTTATCACCTGCCGACTTTTACTAAAATAAACACAAAGAACTCTTCATCAACTCCGTCAGGTGAACAACATGTTCCTATAGATGAAGTTAATAAACTTTTGTTAAATCGTATAAACCTACGTCTCGTTAATTGGGATCTTTATTCTGAAACTGTTAATCAATTACTTTTGGATTTCGAGTATGATGTCAATGAACCCTTAAACAATTACAATAGGTTCTGTAAAATTATTTTGACAGCTGTGGAACGTTCCGTTCCACGTAGGAACTTATCAAATAGCGGTGCAAATACTTCAAAGAGGCACAAACATATTGCAGTACCTTGGTGGAATAACAGGTGTGCGACAGCTGTCAATGATAGTAAAGCGGCTTACCTTAGGTTTAAACAAAATCCAACTCTCGATAATTACATAAATTTTAAAAGAGTTCAAGCTGTTAAAATGTTAGATAATGACAAATGAATTTTGTAATCCCATGGCAAAATATGAGAAAACTATCAAAACATGTCAAAATCATTTTAAAGATATATATTGATTTTTTACGCAAATATACTCCTGATTTTGTACACTCATCTTTTGATGAGTGTTAATTCACCAAAATACTGACCCATTCTCAATTGATGAAATATCAAGTTCAGTAAAATCTAGAAAAGATACAGCTAGTGGCCTTGATAGCTTAACATACAATATGTTTCGATTGCTGAATAAAATAAACCTTACTAAACTCTTACAAATTTTTAACGATTTATGGAAGGACTGTATTATCCCACCAGAATGGAAAATGGATTGTTTGGTAATCCGGTAAAGATCCTACAAATTTCGACTCCTATAGATATAACATTGACGTCCTGTGCAGGCAAATTATTCGAACAATTAATTAAACAGCGTTTGTTCTTTATTGAAAGTAATAGTATATTACCATCGAATCAATTTGGTTTTTGATATTCAGCGCACAATTATTAACTGCTTTGAATAACGATGAATATGTTCTATCTGTTTTTTTAGATGTCGTAGTAGCTTTTAACAATGTAAATTTAACATTTCTATCTTCGATTTTATACTCATTTCTTCCAATGAAACTTATCGAATGGATTTATAATTTTCTTAGTAATAGAGAAGTGTATGTTAAAGTAAATAGTAAATTAATAGGACCTAGGTTAAGCTCTAAAGGAGTATGTCAAGGTGGTATTCTAAGCCCGCTACTATATATTTTATATATCTATAAACTTAATTCAATTTTAGGAAACAGTGTGACTTGGTAAGTGATGATTTATTAATTTATATAAAAGGGATATTAATATAATATTAGTCATTGGGTCAATTAGTTAATAAAATTTATGTTTTAAATGTAATTTTTCATCAAAATTTAAAATTTATATAGATCGTGCTTTAAGAGCCACTAATATAATAAGATCTGTAATTGGTCGTATGATCCTAAAATTACATTACAAATCTCTTGTTAGAAGTAATTTTGATTACGCTTTCTTTTGTTATGCCTCAGAACATAAATTAGTAGAAAAACTCGAAAAAAATTATATGAATTTAAGACTTATTTTAGGTGCTATGTATACTTCTCCAATTATCTCAATGCAAGTAGAATGTAATTTGCCTTATCCTTCTTCGTTTCGAACACCTAAAACTCAAATTTCTCTTCAAAGTTTTTTCAGTTTACAATAACCCACTCATACTCAAATTATTAAATTGACCCATTTCTATGTTTTTGAATAAAACTATTAATGATTTGTATAATGTTTAGGTGTTATATGCCAGTAAGTTCAAGACATGTTCTAAAGACATAAAAGAAAAGCACATGTATGAACTTTATATTTATTGACTACCAGATATATAAATGTCCAAAAAATAAGTGCTTTTTTTTGTTGTTAAAATACTAGTATTTGAAATTAGAAACAATATATTCGAAAAAAATTGTAATTGGAGTGTTCTTATGGCATTAAAAAATAACACATTCATTTCATCATCAAACTACTTAATTCAAGAAATTCGTAATAAATATTATCATCTCTGTAATCTTTTTTCATTTGAACAAGTAGACACTTTGCAAATGCGTGGATTTACCCCTTTGAACAGATTGTAGTATTGGAATACATAAAATCGTTACAACTATTTGGTCAAAGAAAATTTTACACCAATATGATTACATTTCAACGAATATACCGAATGGGCCTGGTAATCTTCATGGTGTAACTCAAATACAGCCCAATCTCTAATCACCTTTTTTTTTTGATTGCTCTGAATTTGTCATTCAAATATGTTTGACGAACTTAGGATTATCTTCAAAAAACCCGAAAATATCCCGCACTCAATCCCGATTCTCTTAAGATTTCCTTCTTGTTTCAAAGCTATTTTCACTTATATTACTACAACATTCCAGGAGCTATAAGAATACTTTTATTGAATTGCAAGACAATGATTTTTTATAATTATTTATTTTTAATTTGATAAATCCACTGGTTTAAGAAAACTCAAGAAAAGATATTTATGAAAATGTACTTACCGGATTTGACAAATGAAATATTGAAGATTAACAATAATTGAAGCGACATTAGAAAAATAAAATTCCAGACAAATTATCTTTTTGAAGACTAGGCAGCATGGTCTCCGACCTTAGCCTGTTCCAAACGGAACAAACGTACTAAAAAAAAATTATATCTGTGGCTTATGTATAGCTTTAGACTAGCTTGGATTTGTTAGTTTTTATTCATTGACTTAAATGAATTAAAATTAATTTATTTAAAGAATAACCTAAATAATTTTTTGAATCAATATTGATTTACTTATTTTTTTATTTATTCACAATGGAGTGGTTGGGTTCAACTATTTTGAAAACAATTTGGAGACCGACTGTAAACATAGTGAGGTTAGTTCTTGCAATTGCAATAAACGAAAGAAATATTGTAACTTGATGGGATGAGTGTAATTCAACAATTTTTTTTAGGACAAGGTATCACGCTGATAAAACACGTTTGGTTAGACGGTACGGCTACGAAGAGAAGTTATGGTGTGGAGGTTTGTTACCTAGAACAGAAGGAAAAGCTCTACCGATTCCAGAATACAGGTACCAAGCAAAACTGAGGAAATAACTTAAAGGCGAAATTAGGTTACAATTAATAAAAAAATGTGAAACAGTACACTCTTATCTAAAATGATCATATGTTCAATATTCCACCAAGTGCCAGCAATTAACACAAATTTTCATAATATATGAAAATCAATGAAATTGATTGAACCAATTTTATTGAAATTTTGTAATTGTCTATTTAGTTTTTTGTTAATCGGTGATAATGAAATGGTAATCCCATCTGAGCTATTGGTATATATTGGCAGTGTACCAGTGAGTGACCATAGATGAGAATGAAATTAGTCAGTTGTCCTATCCTGATAGATTCAATAAGAATCAACCACTATGATTTCCAGGGGTAACCATGTGGAGGTGGATCTGGTAGGGTATATTTCTGTTTGTCACAATTATTAACAATCCCTTTACTCCTTGTTTGCTTAGTTAGTTTTAGCAGGATAGTTTTTATCCCAGTAAGAAAATATGGACCTGGTAAGTGATGATAGTGGATAAAATAATATTAGCTGGGTCAATTAGTTAATAAAATTTATGTTTTAAATGCAATTTATATAGAGTATGTACATTATGTAAATTACATTAATGTAAATTATTATGGACATTTTTACTAAAGTTAGCTACATTCATCCAGTTAATATTTGTATAATGTTTGGTTTATATGCACCAAGACATGTTCTAAAGGAGCAAACTAATTGATACCAAAATGTAATAAGTGTTGTTTTGTTGTTAAAATACTTGAAATTGAACAATATATTAAAAAAATTGTAATTGGATGTTAAGTAATAATGTAATTTATTCTCTACTTAATATTTTTCATTTTAGACCTGCAAATGCATGGACAGAACGTAGGGCACTATTTGGTCAAAATGATTACATTGATATACTTGGGCCTGGTAATCTTCATCCTGTAAAAACTCTTTATAATATTCCTTCTTGGATTAGAGGTGTGAGTGGTCAAGAATATCATGTGAGTAAATGTTTTATTAATTTAATACTCTATTTACTATGCAGAAATAATTGATAACAAAAAAAAAATATTTATTATTTTATTTTTACAACTAATATTTGTTGTGTAATGTTTAATAACTAATGTTTGTAATGTTTTTATAATAATGATAGCATTGGCAAAGATATAAGATGTAAAAAAAAAATAATTGAGAACCTTCTCCTATTGACATCTTTGAAATATATGCCAAAAATTTTAAAGGGTTGAATAATAATTATTTCTTAGATAAAACAGCAGTAATTAATCTAATAATTTTTTATATAAAAGATAGAATTTTTTTAATACTATACCATATATTTGTTAATATTTTAATATCTTCTCAAATTTTTAACTATGTTGATATAATTATCAAGTTTGTTAATAGTAGAGCTTATTCCCATTTTGATCTCATATTAATGTAGTTACAATCTAAATTTGAAATTTTTTTAATAAATTATCTTTATTTTTATTTAATTTATACTGGTGTATTGACTGAGTACATAATTTATTACTATAGGTAGTTATTACTTAAAAAAATGTATTTAATTATCTGAAAATGAGATGTGCTGTTGATAGTTTTTTAGGCTGGAATTAAATGATATGAATATATTCATTTAATTCATAATCATTAATTTGGAATACATATATATATATTTCCAACTTTATTAAATACATCATTGCAGAATGTTTTTATTTTAAACACCATGTATCTGTTCTATTATTTCAGATCTTGCTAAGGAAAAAGAAAATGTGGGCAAAGACGGGGTCACCTGTGGTAAGGCCGACAAAATGGAAACATATAGAAAAGAGACTTTCATATCTTTATAGAAAATTAAATAGGAAAACGAAGACGGGTCCTTCACCAATCTAAATATTAATGTTGTTATTATCTAGGTAGAACATATAATGTTATTGTAAATAATAAACCTGTGTACTTTAAAGTTATGCTGTTGTTATTACAAATATGTAGAACTCATATCAAATAATTATAAAAGTGAATTTAGAAGTTCTTGATTTGTTTTTTATATCTGTATACAACTTAGAATGGTAAACAAGCTGATGGCTCACCTGATGGAAAGTAGTAACCATCGCCTATAAACATGAACCATACCATGGACATAACAGAGTATACTGTTTCGCCCATGATATCCCCCATGCATTGCCATTCCTGAGGACTAAATGTTATTCTTCTAACTTGATGTAGTCATGTGCGCACAGTTAAAAAAATTAATAGGTATCTGTATTTTCTAGTTCATGCTTAATTAAAATTAAAAATTTCGTTCGTCGGACTACGGACGGAATCGTTTGACGGACTTTTTTGACTTTGACGGACAAAGACTTCGACGTATAGTACTTTTTGTTTTTAAAATTAATAATATATTATATATATATATATATATATATATATATATATATATATATATATATATATATATATATATATATATATATCAAGAGAAGTTATACTTAGTAGGTATCACATATAATATTCTCCCCTGCCTTTACCAGTCTATGCGATGGAAAGTGGTCGAAGTTTGTCGATCTATTCGAGAATTTTTTTTCAAAATCCCCACAATAAGTTCTGAAATTAGATCGTACATCTTTTTTATTTACAAGTAACGTTATCACGTTTATAATGTGTGTAGGCAAGTAACAATAAAGAAAACATTTGTGTTTATGAATAGATTTATATTTATTGATAGTTGTAATTTTTATATTATATAAAAGACGCTGAGTATCAAACTATCTGATACCTATTAAACACTAGAGATGATGATCTTAAATGCTCAATGTTTTTTAAATAATTCTTTGGTAAGATATTTTTTGGTAAAAGACGTGACTATATGAAGTAGTTAACTTATTTGATGGAGGAAGAAAAAAAACGTAATTTTTTTATATTTTAGAATTTGGTATTAAACACGTGGAATTAAACGGTATTGTTTTGTGAATCTGTTAACATTCCCCAATCCTCTTTTATGAGGTCAGCAGCTTTTTCAGCGATCATCACAATGGCGGCATGAGTGTGAGCAGCAGGAATGCGTGGCATTATAGATCCATCTGCTACTCTTAGACCTTGTACGTCGTTAACAACTAGTCTTGGAGACACCACAGCTGTCGGGTCACCACTTGGACCCATTTTGCATGTACCAACCTGAAATATGCATTTAATTTTGTTAAAATATACCATGCTTACGGCTATAATTCTAGACTGGGTAGATAGAATGAAAAATAGAAATGGATACCGAATATTCACAATCCGTTCCTTATGGCAGTTTATGGGAGAGGTCTACGTTCAGCAGTGGATGGATAGTGGCTGATATGATGATGATGATGGTGATGATAAACCATTAATCATTAAAAATTTTTTATATAAAAATATCAGTATACCAATAACAGTTTTTACATGATCTATTAAATTACACTTTTTATATTTGCAAACATTGTACACTAACGTAGATATATATTTTATTAAACTATCTAACACATCAATTTGTAGTTGGCACTGGAATGCAAATTGTCAGCGGCAATTGTTTGTTAATTGTTAATTTTGTGTGATACAGAACTTGAATATAAAACAAAAAATACTTTTTTTTTTTATTTACAAAATGACCTGATTGTGATATTTTTAAAGCAAAAAATTTAAAAATGTTTGGCTGTTATTATTTATTAAAGAATGCTATGTACATTATATTTTTACTTTACTCTTGCAAATATAATCTAACGACGCTCTTATTTATTAAAAATCCAATAACCTGTTTAGGCTTCGCTACCCGTTGCGCCAAAAATAAGTATCTACCTATACTTGTACATTCATATAATGTTTATGTTGTCTGGGAATGTAGGCATATCGCTAGAATAAAATTAAAAGGTGATTTCTTTTACCTCGTGATCTAATGTAATCGATGTTTGCGAAATAGCACATTCCCAATATTCATTGGAATCGAATTTCAGGTGTTCGCATCCGGGAAATGGAACATCATGTAATCGTGTTCCATAACGTTGGAACGCCTTGGTACCGATCACCTTTTGTGTCTGGGGAAGATATTAGTATTAATTAATTTGTATAATAAATAATACGTGAACTAGGCCTTCATCATCATAAGTAAATTGACGGCCTACCTAATGAAAAGTGGGAGCCATCGTTTCTCTATATAAAGAGTATTATGGGCATTGCAGAATAAATAGTGATGTCCATGATGCCCTTGTTTGCCTAGTTGTGGTCTTGTAACATACTTACATATTACTTCTAATAAAATTTATCCGTTCTTAAAAACATCAAAATTAATAGTTTTGTGTAATTTATGCACAAAAATTACAGTCGAATTGAATACTTTCTCCATTTTTGAAGTCACATTATAATATAACTTACCAATCGAACACCTTCTACCATACGCCGCATATCATTAGGATGTTCTAGATAATTTGGATAGATTTTCGGATGGTCAGAGTGGTTCGCGCTTCTTAACATCAATCTGCCGACACTTTTAGGCTTGATAAGGACTGGATTCATTGCAAATGACCGCTGTCTCGTTAAGAATGGCAGTTTCCCATATACTTGTAAATACCACTTGTCCGTTATTCCTGTAATTTATACATAACATATATATACATATTTATATTTATTATATTATATATAACAATTATATTAGCATGCGCATTAAGTTATGACCGACAGTTTAGTTGATCAGTGTCGGAGACATTTGATTTCTTCCTCTGATAATATATGTGTATCTGATTATGACAGGAATCTATATCAGTTCAATTTACCCTTGCTACTTGCATCTTTTTGCTTTAATTCTTATTAATTTAATGAGAAACGGATGTATTAAAAATGTATTGTTATGATAAGGTATGTTTCTGTTAGTGTAGAGAGATTCTCACACAACCAAGGTATGCAGGTATTGTTAGGTAAGTTTACACATAGTTTACATTTATGCAGCACCTTGTTGTTCTGTAACGATCAATACGGTTAAATACGGAACAAGCTTTGCACTTCGGCATATGAATCCGTGGCCAATATTTTGTATAGCACAACTGTTTCTTGCTGCTTTAAATTGGTATATAGTTGTTTCCGTCGATGTAGTTTTGGGTTTGCTCACGTTGGTTGGAGCAGGTATAATTGAAGATATGAAAAATGAGTCGAAGTTATCGCATCGGCTTTCTTTTGAATGAATTTGGTTTATTATTGGTATTAAGCACATTAGAACGTTCCGCCAGATTTGATCTTATGACTATTGATTTTTATGATATGAGTCATGGCAGTAAAACCACTTTACCCCAACATGTAAAATGTGAAATTTTGTGAAAATATTTATTACTTAATAGTAAATCTAATACGCTTGGCAGGGGAGTTGCCAACCGCAGTTAGGCTTTGGTGATGTTTTAAGAGGGACTATGATGCTCGTCCTCCACCATTAACTTTTTTTAGTCGCCTCTTACGACATCCACAGAAAAGGAAGGGGTGGCCTATTCTATGTCGGGACTACATGGCTAAGTATTATTACCATACAGCTGACTAAGCAAGTACATAGATATTAGAACGTATATATCAATAAAATTAATTTACCTAGTAAAGATCTTAATATTCCCAATAAATCACCAGCCAGGGAGCCGGCGCCCATGACCAACTCTATGTCAGGTCGCGTTTCCACTGGATCATCATAGGCGTACTTGGTGCGTACGAATGCTAGTCCTGCTGCACCTCCTGGCAATGTCAACGGTCCTCGTCCTGCTAGGTACGCAGCCGCCGACACTGGCGAAGCAGCTGTCATCTAATACATTACAGTGATGGCCCAACTGACCTGATTTCATTCTCACCTATCATCCTTATCATTTACTAGTTTCCCGTCAGCGTATACCGATATCGCAGGCGGGGTTACCATTCCAATTTTATCCCACTAAAATGAAGATCTACCGATGATTACTACTTTCTAATAGGTTGTATATTATCAAGCTTTTTTTTTTGTTTTACTAAGGTGGTAGTAAGATAATAAAATTGCCTTTTTTACTATGAAGAAAGGCAATTTTATTATCTTATTGGTTTTTCATATCCATGACTTTTGGAAATAGGTACTCGTAACTATAATTTATTTCTAAAAAAAATGTTGTTTTGGTACCTAAGAAAAATCTAATGAAGTAAATTACTTATGGATGGTGTAATACAATATAAAACATACCAGAGTTTATGTTGGAGCTAAAGAAATACAAGTGTGAAAACCGCTTTTTATTTGGTGCAGTAGATCTTGTGTGATGTCGAAACAAACAGACACTACAAACAGACAGATAAAAATTGTAAAATTTATTGTTTTGGATTTATAGCTTTATATATTTTTTATATATTTTAATATTTCATCTATCATCTACTAGTTTCTAATTACCGTTTTATTATATGTTCATAATTATATTAGATATTTACAGTGTACTTACATCATTTACGCATAAATTAGTTTCGTTGACTATAAAAGCATTTCCGGAGAATGTAACGTGATCTTGCAAATTGTATCCCACAGGAAGGTTTACTAAAGGATTGATTTTAAATTCTTTCAGGTGTTCCTCAGGGCCTACACCAGACAACATCAATAACTGGGCGGAGCCTATAGTACCTGCTGCCAAAATTACCTCCCGGCGAGCTCGTACCTGCCGCCTGTATAATAAAATATGCATATATCATGAACAGATATCAAAAACTTAAATAGATACTTAAACCTAAATAAATTAATAGAAATTTTATAGTGCTAAATGTAATAGGAGATTCGTTTGTGGTTTATTGGAATGTTATAAAATTACCTTTTGTTTCTTTTCTTGAATTCCACTCCGTAGGCGGTTTTAGTCTTTGGTTCTATTAATATTCTCTCTACTGTTGAATATTTAGAAACTTTTAAGTTTTTTCTGAAACGAATAGGCTCCAGAAATGCTTTAGAACTGCTGCATCTTCTACCATTTCTCATTGTCGCTTGTGGTTTAGAAAAACCAATAACATGTTCTCCATTTGGGTCACGCCATTTAAAACCGAGTTCTTCACCGGCTTTCTTAAAAGGGATCTCTAGTGGGGACCTGTATGGGGCGTATTCTATATCTAAGTATCCCCCTTTGCCATGATAAGAGGAATTCATTAGTTGACGTATTCTAATGTTTTCTGATTTCTTAAAATATGGCAGTAAATCTGAATAACTCCACCCTTTATTGCCCATTCGCGCCCAATCGTTGAAATCTTCAGGGTGACCCCGTTGGTAAATTAAAAAGTTTAAAACACTGCTTCCTCCTAGTACTTTTCCTCTAGGTAGAAAACAAACATTATTTCTAAGGTCTTTGCATGCTCTTTTCAAGGGTTCCGATGAATAACCCCAATTCATAGAAGTTGTAGATAGAAAAGAAGCAAAAATTGGCACATCTGAGAAGAAATTTTCATTACCTCCAGCTTCTAAGAGAAGTACATTCCATTTACCTATTTCAGTTAGCCGGTTTGCTAAAACGCAACCAGCTGAACCTGCTCCAACGATAATAAAATCAAATTCTTCCTGATCATACGGTGTATAATCTGGAATAAATCCCTCGTTTGGATTGCGTGGCAATGGTCGAAATAAATCTGTCCAAAAATCAAATAATCGGGATATTTCCAAACCACATGAGCAAGATATGCAGACGCATATCCAAGCAGGCAATAACCATTTCATGTCGAATTCGGTTGTCACTCATTCCTGCAATAAATAAATAAATTGATTAAATAATATTTGTGTTTATTGTAAGTACGTTTCTAAGACTAGATAGGTGCCAAAGATATATCTAGGTATCAAAAGGTTTTAAAGTTTATTGACGGAATATAAAAATATCATCCATTACGATACAATAAGAACACTTACAAATACATGACCATTTCCATTTTATATTTGGCATCGGAATAAAATTTGTGTTTCGCTTTGTTCATCCAAATCACGTAATCTAACCAACATAATGCTTACGTAGGTAGATATCTATAAATAAAAGTGTAATTTTAATTGGTTATTCTAGTGATCAGCGACATTTACATTTTTATGACCCGACCAATAGATATGAAAATTTAAATAGGTACCTATATTAATACAGGTAATATAATTCCTATTTATAAAATTATTAAACTTTTACAGAATATAAGAATTTAATAGATATTAATTGGAATGCACTGCCTATTGATAGCAAACTTTACTTCAAAAAGTCCCTTCGTGAACATTACTTTCAATTTATCACAACAATAAAAAGCCTTAGTCTGTTATATAATTAATTATGATTTATATATTCATATAACACAACTTATATCTAGTTAACAAAGTTACCAATAATTTATTAGTGTAATTAAAACAATTGTCTTTCATTTTTATTTTATAACACATATAATAGGCACTTATCGTGCGTAACCATTCCTGAGGACTATAGTAACATGGTATCTTGTAATTTCACTTGAAATATACGCAAATATTTTAAAGAGTAATATTTAATGAATATCAAAAGTATATAGTTACATTGTAGTAGGTACAGGTCTTTTGTATGTGAGGTAGCAACCTTCAGACCACAATAATTATTTATTATAGTAACATTAAAATGGGTCACCACGTAAAATATTGTATGACAAAACATTGGTTAACAAAATAAATGCTCAATATATTTTTATATATGAATAACCGGATTTACTTATGTGTAATTCAGTCGAGAAGCTGAACTAGTTTCGGAATCATTGAGTCGAACCGGATAGTCCTGAAATTATTGAAATAAATACATTTGCACGCATTCATATTTTCATTAAAAAATAAGCTCATTTATCAAAAAAAAAAAAGTTGTTGATTGGAGATAGAGAGAAGATCAAAAGAGCAGTTGAGAAATGCAGACTATCCGCGCTCAAGGGAAGGCAAGAATAAATGACGAGGAAAGAACTGAAGAGGGCAGAGAGAGAAGATACGAGTACGTTTAAGTTTAATTAAGATACGTATACATTTTCAAAAAACCTTCACGTTCATAATATAGAGATAGCATAGAAACCAGTCATAATAGTTAGTATAGTAACATTACCTTCACAGTGGTTTAGTGTCATAACTACTGGAGTCATTAGCACCTACTCGTAAATACAACGGATGGCAGATATAATCAATGGGTACAACATAGAGTATATTGTAATGTACTTACGTATAATATATATCAACGACACGTTTATCTCCCACGGAGGGAGATAGAAATGGACCTTTTTGGTGGAGTGGTTTAAAGCATGGTGGTAGTTTGAACCCCGTACAGGAAAGCGTTATTTATCAATATCTTTCAATATTTTATGAAAATCCGAAATATGTAACTAGATGTCATTATTCTCTTTTACTGCTCAGGTCCGTTTAGTGGATGTCGTCTTTATTGCGTGGTGTCCAAATAAATAATAATAATTTAACGTTATTTATTCTCCTACTTCTTGCTGGCAATATGACTAATGATGAATGAAAATTACAGAAAATGAAAAAAAAAGTAGATTACAAATAATAAAATATAATATATACATAATAAAATAATAATAATAATATATAAAACATGGCTCAGTTTTTAGAAAATATAAATCCACATTTTTATATGGTATCTAGCATAGTACATATACTCGTAATTAGGTAATTAATTGTCTACAAAAATTTCACACCCATTTAATAAACTTGTTATTGAAATTATAAAGTCATATCGACTATATAATAATATTCAAAATACTTGCATATTGTTCGACTGTCAATTCCAATGTTTATTAAAGTAAAAACATTTTATATTTATTCGTGATATGAATAAATATAATGAAATTCCATTAAGAAGTCATAACACAAACAGTGCAAGTTATATATGATTAGTGCCTGAAAACTCAATTTATAAAAAGAGGAAATCTTGATCGTCAGAAATTAGATATTTAATAATATCTACATCTTCATTAGTATATCTATTTCTACAGTTATCTATATCTAGATCTAGATAACTATATCAAGGATTAATTACCTATGTTTAGAAGAGAGATTTCAGAAATTAAGGTTTTTAGGATTTTAATTAAAATGGCGAATGATGAATTTTTTTATTGTCTCTATATGGTGGTTAATTTAGAAAAAAATATTATTTCTTGATAAAGATGTAAAAGAATGCGGATGGCCAATTTTTAATTTTAAAATTTTAGTTCAATGAATTAAAATAAAACTAAATGATCGACCTAGTAGTTTGTAACAGAACTGAACTAGTTCGGAGTATCTACTCCATAAAATGACAGAGCAAGTACGGGCTTTAATTAAATAAGCACAAAAATAGTATGTAGGATTAAAATAAAACTTATAACTGGTTGCATTATGGCAAAAACATGTTAGGAATTTTGCAACCGATGTCATGTCTGTACGAAAGCGAGAGAATCATTATTCGAGCTGGAATGTCTGATGTACATTACATACGATGCACGGCATTACGTAAATACCTACCCTACCTGTCCTACCGGCTGCATTGGATAGGCATTTTCGTACCTTGTTGCGTTAACTATTTATCAGTATAACTAGTTAAAAATATTTAGGATTGACGTCAATGTTATTGTGATACAGTCGTATATTCTCTGTATGTAGTAAGTTCTCTTGTTGTAATAAGTTGTTTTTTAATATTATTAAAAGTTCGTAGTTCACCTAGACTACTGTAGGTACTGCGTATATTTTGTAACATTCCCACATATTTGTAATTGAACTAGTTTCACAAAAACGCTGTTGCAAAGCAAAAACTTGGTTTTTTATGTAACATGGAACGGTAAACTACTGAAGTACAAAGTCCTATATGAATACTTCTTTTTAAAAAGTTGACAGTCCATCTGATAGAAAATGACAACTGTTACCTATAGGGAAGAACAAGACAAAACAAAGAATGCATTCAATTAGAATTAAAAATATTTTCTAGAAGAAATTTTTGACTTTGAGACCTATTGAGGTTGATTCTGAGGTATCATTACTTAAACATATCTCTAAAACTAAAAGTATAACTTGACAGTTTAGCAAAACTATTATGGTAGACCATAGAAAACTGATCATGCAATTTTACTAAAAATTTGGTTTTTACTATTCCTTAGAATACTCATAGCGTTATTATAAATTATGAAATTTTATTAAAATTTTATTCTTAGGGATAGAGAATACCTCTTTAAAATTAAACCCTCAAAAATACTTCTAATCAGAATACGCAGCATTTAGTAAATACCAGAATGCAAAATAATTTGATGATACATAAATAAATTTATCAATAATGTAACCTTACTTGTGTGAATGTATTTATTTATTTCTTTGTTGTACCAACACCGTAAAAATATATAATGACAATTAGAAAATTCAATTGAAATACAGTAGCATAAAGTACAGATTAAAATATGTACATAAAGGTATAAAAGGCGGTCTTATCGCTAAAGCAATCTCTAACAGACAACCTTTGTGTACTAAATAGTGACAAATTAAAAAGCTTAAAACATTGCTACGGAACCCTAATAATACATATCCGACACGCTCCATTTGTGAGGCACGTACATAGCATAAATAAGTAAAATGGGTTCAAATTGGATGTTTTTTATTTTGTTGGTTGTGATTAATTTATGGCTCTCCATCAATTGTCATGAACATTAAATATATGCGTTTGTTATTGTTAAGTGTTTTACATTTTTACAAGGTTCTGATGAATTCCTTCATGTAAGAATTCAATCAATCAATTTTTAATTTAGAATTGGAATTTTATGTTTTGAAAATCATACAAGATATATTTGAGTATTACAGATATAGTTATATATGCAGAGATACTAACTTATCATTTTAAAATAAGTATATTTAATTTGAATAATGCTTTACAAGTAAAGTGATGTGCATTAATAACTTGTTGCCAAGTTATGTATGAGTTACTTGGAAATGGCTAATCAGAATTCATAAGATTAACAGATATCTTACATTGTAAGATATTATAGGCTAATGCATAAAAACTACAAAATATTTGTCATTATGTAAGACAAGGGGGTTGAAATGACATACGAAATAAATCTTCGAACGTAATTTTAGATAATTTTCTACCAAAATCCCAAAAATTTGGGTTGAAATTAGCCGTAACCGAAATTTTGGTTTGATATTAAATATAACGTCTAGTTTAGATAGATATGTGAGTGTGATATTTATGGTAGGTATACGATTTTACATTCTTTTTAATTTGAATTCGAGGCAGTTAAATAGGTACCTTATATTTTTATCAACATAAATTTTAAGTGGATTATTGTTTGAAAATTTGAATTTAGGGTTTTTTTTGCATATTAAAGAAAGTATATGAAATGATGAAAAAATAATAAATCTATTTAATAATTTTTGTATTCGTTCACATTCGAAATATCTGTTTTCAAGAATGCCCAAATGCTTGTGATAATAACAAGTGCTAGACTCACATCAGTTGGTTACAGATGAGAATAATAATTATATAATATACATTTAGAATAATAAATTATTGTGAGTTATATTGAGTTACGGAGATCCCGTAGTTTTATTGCGTGATAGAATCCGAAATGAGGATATTCGTAGAAGAACCAAAGTAAATGATATTACCTGAAGAATAAGCAAGCTGAAGTATTACGGATTAGTTACATAGCTCAAAGAACTGATAAATAATGTGGAAGAAAGTTTTCGAGTGGTAACAGGTACACTCAACGTAAGACGACACCCACTAGAGGGTCAATGGACGCAGGTGGCTCAAGACTGTTCCTTATTGCTGTCTTTATGGTGAAGGCCTGTGTGTAACATTGGACAACGATTTAAATGATGATGATGATGTTGAGTTATAATTTGTATATCAGCTCTACTCATGTGCTTATATCTTCGTGTTTAAGCGACTAACCTTGATAGGAACACTTTTTATTATTATTGAAAGACAGGCTTTTTCAGACAGAAAAACCTGTGACGCTCCGACCTTTACATGATTTTTGTGCTCGCTCTTTTTTAAA